CCCCGGGGTCATTACTTTCTCTTCTTTCTCTTCCCATCTGGCAAGGACCAGTGACCAGTCCCCACTCGCCCTGTCCCTTCCCCTTTGCAGTGCTGCATTCCATTACAGTGGCACATTCAGGAAGTCCCCATTTCTCTCCCCGAGCTAAATCTCTGTCCCAGAAGATTAAATAGGTCTTCAGAGAATGTTGCAAAAAACACCTTTGTCTTCACCTCATGCTTCTCTTGCCCACAGCCTTTAAGAACTGTTTCAATGTCCCCCGCAAATCTTTAAAATGTTTTCTCAGTGAACCATTTGTTCCTATTTGACAGGCTGAGACCAGGGGGTGTGGAGGGAGGGTGCCCAACCTCTCCCCACTGCAGAGGTCCCAGGTGATTCAACAGGTGTCAGGAAGGGCAATCACACCCTGCTCAAAACTCTGAGGCTGCATCAGATTTGTACTGGTTATTTTCAAACTATTGGCTATGGATGCTTAACTTCCAATCTACCAATTTGATCCCACTCTAGATTATACGACCAAACTCATTCCCAGGAGGGAAACGTTGGGAGGCTTGAGTTGGTAGCACAGACTCTCAGCGTGAAGTCAGGTGTTTCTGAGTCTTCTCTTACTGTGCACTCCAGTTTCTATAATCTTTTCCCCCCTTATTCCCTTCACTGTGCACCTCCCCCCCACCCCCAGAAGTCTCTGACTTGGCCTCTTCCTGGGAGCTTCTCAGGCATTTTCTTTTTCTTTCTTTCTTTTTTTTCTTTTTAGTGTTAGATTCTTTAATGTTTATTATTACTGTTATTATTAACATATAATGTATTATTTGTTTCAGGGGTACAGGTCTGTGATTCATCAGCCTTACACAATACACGGCGCTCACCACAACACAACACACATTTGCCTAGCTCCCTAGGACCTTGCCCAGGGCCTGCTAAACCTTTCTGATGCTAATCACTGCTTAGATTTCTGCAAGCCCCCGCCCTCACTGCTGAGCCATCATCTGATTCTCTTCCCCGGACTTTCCCAGCCTCTCTCCTTCCTAGGTCCTGACCATTTCCTGTGGAACCTGTTCCCGTAATACCCACTCCCTGGGTGGACTTTGTCCTCCCCGCTCCGAGGTGCTCCCGGGTAGCCCTCTCTCCAGCACACACAGGACACTCCATAACCACCTTCATTCTCACTCACATTCACCAGAAACGACTGCTTTCATTTAGGTCCATTTTTGCTTGGTTATTATTTGGAGATTGCCTGAACTCCTCCTTCGTGTATAAACAGCATGAGCTAGATTAGCCCTAAGAACTTCCTTGTGTTATGGAAAAAGATCTGATTATTCCCTGTGGGGTTTCCAGTGGGGGGGATATTCAGAGAGGTAGAACACGACCCGCCCAGCATTCTACTGTTGTCATTTCAGGTCCCCAAGCTTCTGCCTGCCTCTTTGTCTCTACCAGACTCTCCTGAGGGCTATGGACTCTGGAGCCCCTCACTGGCTGTGTGACCAGGAGCAAGTCACTTAACCTCTTGGTCTCAGTTTCTTCATCTGTGGAATGGGGATATAAGAGTATCTGCTTCATAGGTTGCTGTGAACATTAAATGGGATAATTTTTTTTTAAGTTGGCTCTATGCCCAATGCAGGGCTTGAACTCACAACCCTGAGATTGAGAGACACATGCTACTGACTGAGCCAGCCAGGCACTCCCAATGAGATAATTTTTTTTTTAAAGATTTTATTTATTTAGAGCGAGAAAGCAAGTGTGAGCAGGGGGAGGGGCAGGGGGAGAGGGACAAGGAAAGAATCTCAAGCAGACTCCCCATTGAGCATGGAGCCCAATGAGGGGCTCCATCTCAGGACCCTGAGATCATGACCTGAGCCAAAATCAAGAGTCAGACGCTCAACCCACCGAGCTACCCAGGTGCCCCGAGATATTTTTAAAGCACTTAGGACAGTGCCATCTACAGACTAAGCTCTCTAAATGCTTGTTTATAAATAAATTCTAGAGGTATTAATTATCATTATTATTTAAATTTGAGGGAAAGGAGTAGAGAAGAAATGGTAAAAAGGAATCAGTTGTCTGGAAATAGACTATACCAGCTGTAAATAGGCATGCAAATTATTATGAGAGTAAATCAAATCTTTTTCCCTTTTTATAATCTTAATGGAGTCTTGCCCTAACCCAGGCCAATTAGAAGAATGGCCTGAAGGCTTCTAGGGAAGGTGACTCAGATGCCTTTAAGGGTCCCCCAACTCAGCACAAGCTTCTTCTGCCAAAGGACAAGGGGATGGTGGACTCTTGGATCCCTTTATGGAAATGAGGATTCATTCTACATTGCTTTCCATGCACCGTCCGTCTGAAGAGCACCCCCGCCCAAGAGCCTGAGGACTGCTCACAACACCTGCTGCCGGAGCCTGCTGATCCTGTGAGCCTCAGCTCCTGACACTGCTTCCCCATCAGGTAAGTCAGACTTCCTCCTCCTCCCCTGGCTGCCTGCCCTCTGATTCACTCTAATTCCTCCATGGTGCTCAGCCAGGGCGAGCGAGGCACAGAGTTCTCTGCATTAACGTCTGCCTATGAATGACAACGTGGGAGGCCACAGCTGGCCTTAGAAAAAGGTGAAGTTGGAGGGTATCTACTTGGTGTGGTTTTAGGGCACCGAGAGGACCTGCCAACTCCTGTTCGAAACAGCCCTTCTCTCCCCCAATGGCTCCTGCCCCTGCTGCCAATGCCTCCAATCCCACAGTCGGAGATGCAAACGTTCTCACCATGAAATGTCTCAGAACACAGTCTGTGTACGATTCCCTTCCAATTACAAAAAGATGAGAGGCAGCACATAGGTGACATGCAGTTGTACTCATGTAGCTTTAAGCATGAATACGTTCATAACAGCATTCTTTTAAATGAGAAAACTATAACATAAAAAAATAAAACCCAAAAAATAAAACACAAAAATCTAACAGGAAGGGAATGGTTAAGTAATTATGATATATACACGAATATATATACTAAGTAACTGTTTAATTATGCAGTCTTTATATATTAATAAAGCTCTATAACAGTTACAAATTGCTTACCTCATATAATGTAAAAAACAAAAAGGACAGGATATAAAGTTGCAAATATAACTAGGTGAAGAACATCACTAACAACAACCCTATTCATCAGAAATTAACAGGAAGGAAATTCATCAAAATGTTAAGACTGGCTTTACTGGGTGGAAAACTGGGCGATTTCACCCCTCCTTTCTAATTTCCAGTATTGCCTGATATTTCTGACCTAAGAGTTATTTATAAGGAAAAGTAACAATAACAACTTGTATGAAAGTCAACAATGGAATGGGGGGAAGATGCAATATTCCCAGGAGGCATAATACTTTGAGGGGAAAAAGGGGCAGTGGATAGAGGGATAGTTCCCAGTTCTGCTCCAGGACCACTGTGTGAGCCTCAGGAAAGGCCCGAGTTGCTAATGATGCCTATGTGTAGAGGCTTAGAATCCATCACTAGAAACCTCTGTCCCTGCACTCCTGTGCAATCCAGGTGAGCTCTTCAGAAAGGAAGTCTCCTTACAGGAGTTTAGTGCTCTGTTTCCATCCTGATCAGGATCTGAAACAGGTGTATCGCAATGTCTGGACATTGAGGGACACTGTTGTGGAGCTCTGGGACGGCTTCAGTCGCTGGTAGGTGGTAGCTAGCTTGGGTTGCTGCCAAGTCTGGTTAAGAGTCTAAAGCTGATGACTGGCTTCATTTTTGTTCCCTGGAGCTGGGGCTGCTCTGACTGCAACTGATGGAGCTTTTTGGTTTAGTGGGTTCCCATGGGGTTGAGATGGAAGGTGGAGCCCCAGAGAGGCACAGAGTGTGGTCTGCGGTCAGTAGAAGTCTCATGAATTGGGTAGAAATTAATAGCTGGAAGAGTGCAGGAGTGGGAATCGGGAGGCCCTGGTGTAGGGGCATTGGGAAAATCCCTTCCCCTCTCTGTACCTGAACTTCCTCATTCTTACGATGAGGAAATCGGATTTCAGGGGCCCTTCCAGTGTTAATATTCTACGGGTGAAGTAGTTCCTATGTTCACTCATTAACACACAACTCTGTTTAATTTTTTCGAGCACTTACCACTAACGGGTTGTTTATTTATTTGTTGCCATATCACACGTCAAAATGTAAGGTCCAGGAGAGCAGAAGCCTTCTCTGTCTTGCTCACAGTCACATCTCCAGAGTCTAGAGTGACAGCTGGCCCAGAGCAGGTGATCAGCAAATACTCATTGAGTGCCTGAGAATGAAGCCCTCAAGCTATTGCCTGGTGCGGAGCTGTGAGGTGGAGCTGCAGTGGCTGAGGGCTCTCGCACTGCTGCTCGCCTCCTCTTGTCCGTGTCTTCCTGACCCCACAGTTTATTTGTTCAGAACCCCTTTTTGAGAAATTATCTCACCCTCCGATCATTTGGCTATATCTTCATTAATTCCTAAGTGTGATAAAAATGACACGGGGTGGGGGGAGATATAAACCCCCAAGAATAAAGAGAATGAGAGGTAAGAATAGACAAGAGAAGTCAACATTTTTTTTGAATAACAGAAAGTCCCTGCAAAAGTGGGTTCTGACCCGGCAGAATGGAGATGAGATGCGAGTCCCTGCCATTAGCCCTGCACGACCCCTGGAAAGGCTCAGGAAGTGGAAGCACCAGGCTGCACTGAGGGTCAGGGTACAAGTGGGGCTAAAAGGGGAAGAGGGGTTGTAAAGGGAGTACACCCCTCGGTCCCTCTTCTAGACGATGTACACTTTCCTGAAAATTGAAATTCACTGAAGGTCCACATAACAGAAGAGGGAGATGGCCACCATCCTTGATCTTGCTGTCTCCCAGAATACTGGCAGCCAAATATAAACATTTTACGTAGACCTGAGGATCTTTCATTAGGGAAACCAAAAAGATGTACAGATACTCAAATTCTGACATTTCACTGCAGAGTGGAACCTTCCAGTAAATACACTCCTTCCATTACACAGAGTATCTGCTCGGCTTTTTTGGTGCCTCGTTCATAAATATGAATCTGATCCGGCCAAAGATCCCCAGACTTTGCAGAATAGCCCCTCTGACAGAGACCAAACTAAACAAAGAAGAAGGATCAGGCACTCCGAGGAAACAACAGGCAGGCAGGACAACCACACTTCAGCAACACTGTAATATCCTCAGAGACGCAAGAAAGGTTTTATATCCAGGAAAACAGACAAGCTGCTACAGAGACGGAGGACATTTCAGAATGAGGAAGAGCTCTCAGAAATCACAACTATGGTGGGAATGAAACATCTCATACATACATGGGTCGGAAGACAGAGTCAGAGACATCTTCCAGAGAGTAGGACAAGAGCAGTGAGAGAGGAAAATAAGAGCAAAAATGTAAGAAAATTAAAGAATTGATCCAACAAGTATGAGACAGACAGAATGAAAGGGAATAAATCGTCAAGAAAAGTTCCCAGGACTGAAAGGCACAAACTGCCAAGCTGACGTATTGTTCCAAGTGTCTACTGTGATGAACTTTAAAAAGACCCACTCTAAAGCATGGGGTCAGGACATATCGGCAGTGAAGAGGGCATTCTAAAAGTTTTCAGAGAGAGAGGAGGAAAAAAAAGTCAGATTAAATCCAACAAAATCAAGAATCACGATGACAGCAGTTTTCAACAACAGCCTTGGAACGTTAAAGAAAATGGAGCAATTCCCTCAAAATTCTGAGTGGGAATCATTACCAACCTAGAATTCTGTGTCCAAACAAAGTGTCAGTCAAGATGAGAGTACATGAAAGGCCTCTTTCAGACGTTCAAGTCTCAGAGATTTGCCTCAGGAAGCATTCACTGAGTGGCAACCATTAGGATTAGCATGTTGGCTTCTGGATTTTTCTCTTTTAGCCTCTTTCTTTCTTTTTTTGTTTCTCTTAATGTGATATACCTTTAGTAGATACAAATTAAAATTAATCCCTTCATTCCCTTTTTAAAAAAAGGAGTTAATAGGTAGACAGGTTTGAGGAGTGCCTGAACCACAAGATGGTTTTTCTTTTTTTTTTTTTTAAGATTTTATTTATTTATTTGACAGAGAGAGAGGCAGCGAGAGAGGGAACACAAGCAGGGGGAGTGGGAGAGGGAGAAGCAGACTTCCTGCCGAGCAGGGAGCCCGATGCGAGACTCGATCCCAGGACCCTGGGATCATGACCCGAGCCGAAGGCAGACGCCTAACGACTGAGCCACCCAGGCGCCCAGATGGATTTTTTTTATTTAGCAAAGCATTCGTCCAGGCCTTATGTGAAAATGTTCTAGTCAAAGCTATGAAATGTGTGGTGAGGTGATGGTACTGAGGGTGGGTTCACAGCCTAGCTGAGGTGCAAGGGACTTTGGGGTTCACCTAACCCAATCTAACCCAATCCCCTGATTTGACAGAAGAGGGAAATTAATCCCCCAAAGAGGAAGGACTTACCTAAGGAAGATAGTGTTTGAAAGATGGTAGACAATAAACATTTGTCAAATGAATGAATGTGTTAGTGGGTAAGTAAATGAGTTAAGCCAGGGATTATCCAATGCTCTTAACTCATAAGTAGAAAAACCGAGGACCCCAATATAGCAGAGCCAAGACCAGACTTGGGTTTTCAAATTCTGGGGTCAGAATACTTCTCGCTAGACTTTGCTAAATTAATGATCGCTGTCCCCCTTAATGTCATAAGGCTCTAGGTCCACACTTGCACCGAATGTATTGATACACGGATTACGGATTGGGGTCAGTGTGGGAAGAGGATTTTCAAATCCAAAGCTTGACAAAGCTGCAGAGAACACGAAGCTGGGAGAGGCAGCTAAGATTACAGATCATAGACACCCAGGACCTCTGTGAGCTTCTACTCTAATCTCCCACTCAAGGCAGGACCCTTTCCAGGACATCTAGCTCTCTGTGTTATGACACTCTTCTCTCCTGATGGAGAGCTGAGGTATTCAGAACATTTCCTTTGTTTTTGTAATTTCCATCCACGGTTCTTAGTTGCCCTCTACGGTAATACAGAAGAAATCTTCCTTTCTTCCATGGAGCTCTACATATGTAAAGACTAGAGGGATAATTCCTTAAGTCTTCTCTTTTCCACACGTTCCTTCAAATGGCTCTCAAGTGTGTGGTTTCCACTATTTTCATCATATTCTTCTGGATGAACTTAGTATGTCACTGTCCCTCTTGATAGGGACACCTAGACCTGAATCCAATCCTTTAGACCTAGTGTGTCCAGCACAGACTAAGCCAAGCACTCACTTCTAGGCCGAGACACTGTACTTCCATCCATGTGGTCTGAGAGTCTTTTACTTGCTGGCTTCTATTGAGCATGCAGCCTCCTAAAGACCCCAGTCTGACTCACAGGGTCTTCTCAAGCGAACTTCTTCCCTTTCTCTACTTGAGGCTTTAACTCAGAGAATTTTCTATTTATCTGTGTTAACTTCAAATTTCTAGCTAAAGCGTAGTGTTCTTGACTCTCTCATCTATCAGATTAGTGATTCCTTCCAGTTTTGTGGCATCTGCAAACCTGAAATTTATACTTCAATGTGTTCATCCAAGTGAGAGACAAACACAGAGCACAGTTTGGTAGGAACAAGGACAGAGCTCATGGATACTATGCCTAGGCTCCTAGCAGACAGGCGCCATCCACCCAGAGGAGGAACTGGATTTGCTCGGGGCATAATGAACACCAGGAGTGGAAGTTACAGGGTCTCAGATTCGGCTTAACTTAATGTTTATTTACTTATTCATCCAACAAGAATTTATTGAATGCTGGTTGGAGGGTTCGAGCTCCCCGGCGAGGGAGGGAGGAAATGAAAACTGCGAATTCTGTCTGCTCCTTATCTCTGTACTCCCTGTCCAGGCTTCCGAGAGCATGGAGGCCAGGCACAAGCGATCAGCAGACACAGCTGGGAGGATGCACAGCCGGCCAATAAGCGGAGGCCTCTGCAACCTTGATCCCTTGTATGGAGATAAGGGTTCTGACTAGGTGGGGTGGGGGTGTGTCTCCCGGCTCCTTTGTGCTTCCCTGAGGCTGCCTTTACTGATGTCCTACTTGTAGGTACCTGGGCACTTTCCTGCAACACACACCAGAGCTTGAGAAAGAGGAAAGAGCCCACGGGACTGGGGCTGAAAACACATGGTGATGTACAGCAGAGGGTGGAGAGAGGTGGCTGGGAGAAGCCTGGAGTACAAAGAGCTTCTCTGCAAGTATAGAGAGGGAAGAAGCCGTGGGCTGCCCTCAGGCATTCTCACAATTGTCCTCTGTGCAGTTGGGCAACACTGAAAAGTTGAGCTCCAGGGGCCATCTGGCCAAAGACCAGACAGGACTTCAAAGAAGTGTACCATGTCATGCAACCTCAGGTATTCAGATGTGGGTCACCATTTTCCATTCTGTGGGTCATGGGGTCTGGAGTCAGACTGCTAGGTTTGAATCTGTCTCCACTGTTTCTGTCTGTATAAGCTCAAGCAAGTTAGTTAGCCTCTCTTTGGCTAATCTTCCTTATCTATAAGATAGAGAAAACATGAATCATTGCAAGGATTCCGTGACTTCACACAGGTAAACCCTGACATGCATCACATGCTCAATAAATGTTATCTATTGTTTATCCAGTCATCCTAACTTGGCACATACCCAGGGCGTGTTTCCTGCGCCAATACTGTGTGCCTAGGGTACAGAAATCCATTCCTAAGCTAGCCTTAGGGACACATATTGGGAGAAACTGGCAGACTGGAAAAAATAAATAAAAGCAACCATATAGGACCAAGCCCAGGGTTAAAAGGTTTAGGGTACAATTTAGGCTATAATTTCCCTTTGTAGGGCCATGGATATGAACGTCCCTTCTTTCCCACACTAGGGCTTCCAGAGAAACAAGAGACCACATCAGGCTGGGAAGGATTTCTTGGAACTATTTGCCAGACCAGGTGCATAACATGTTTATACTGAGGTGATGGGGGGTGGGGCGGGGTTTGAGATATCCACTCGCATATAGAAAATTGGCAAAACCATCCCTGGAGGGAGGCCATACCACCCCCTGGTTGACCAGAGAATACCAGTCAGCCTGATTATTGTTCTGTCATCTGAGCACAGTCGGCAGGGACCAGAATTGGAAAGAGGGCACAGGTGAAGTTCAAGGGTGTGCTGCTGAGTGCCCGGGAGGGGAACCTGTCTCAGAAAAGGGGCCAGCTGGCTGCTGGCAGCTGGGGGTGAATTCAACTGCACATACAGGAGCAGCCCATTCTAAATGCTTTGACTCAGAAAGCGAACACCCATAGTCACTGTCTCCCAGGCCCAAAGAGATGCCAGTGGACATCTGGTTAATTTCCCATTTTCAAGCAGAATAAGATAATGATGCACACTTGTATGACCCTTTACAAGACTCACAGACATCAGCCTGATCCTCACAGACCCCATTTTATAATCTGATTTTACAGAAGAGGAAAGCAAGGCTCAGAGAGGTGAACTATCTTGCTCAGGAACACACAGCAGCAAATCACAAAGGCAGGACCTCAAGTCTTAATAACCCAGTTACGTCACCCATGTACTTACTTGCTTACTCACCAGCCAGCCCCTGAGCTGTGCACAGGGCAGAGAGGGCTGAAGCAGACAGTGGTGACGGCCCTGCCCTCACCAAGCTTACTGTCCCGTTGGGGAACATCATACAAACACCCCAAGCATGACAACAGGGGAAGCGTGGGGTGCTGGCCCCGGGGATGAGGCGGGGGTCCCTCAGAAAGTGATCTGCTCTTCCCATTGCCGACTCACCAGACTGCTCCACTGGGTACTGCCGTGGCTGTCTGGCCTCAGAGCTGTTTATGTTACAAGCTCTGTCACCCGCCCGGGGCTGTGAGACTTGGTGAGAACTACTCCCCTGCTAACCCACCAGCCGGTGAGAGCCCGGAGCGTCTGCCCTGTCCTATGCCAGCCTGCTCAGCCTCACCACGTCCTGGCCATCCCCAACCGTGGGGTTCCACCCTGGCAGTGGGGACTGGAGGAGACGGCGGCTGTCCAGGTGAATGATCCAGAACACGTGCCCAGCAAGGAGGAGGGGAGCAGACGCAAATGCAGGGGTTCCCAGAGTCTTCACAGTGTCTTCCTTGAAAGTTGTCAAGCTTTTGTCCCCAGTGAATTACAGACTTTCCCTTATCCCCGATCCTATCCTTGCCGTGTCAGTGTGAAGAAGGGCCTTTATCTGCGACCCGCACTTCTTCCTTGTCCAGGTTCACCCATTTACTGAGTGAGTCCTAACAGGATTTTCTGCTGTCTGCTGCCCTTGGCTCATTTTCTCTGGGACTGACGGGCACCCCCGTCTCATGTCTGGTTCACGACACTGGGTCTTTCTTACCACCACCTTCCCGTGTGGTTGCCAACTATCAGAATGTGCCCTTTGGACTCTGCTTGCTAACTGTTCCCTTGACCGTGTGCATTATCTCTGACTCGGCTCCGTCTTAAAGACCTCTTAACTTTCCACTCAGGTTCCTCTCTAGGAACCAAAGGGCAAAAGCAAAGTTCTCAGTGGTGCAAGGTGGCCACTAGAGGGAAGCAAAAGCTAGGATTTACTATAGGAACTGGCCATACTTGGGTTGCTAGAACCAAGGCTGGACCCTACCCTGGATAGGGCACACCACTGGCCCACCCACATGGGAAACAGACGACAATTGCTTACTGCCTGGCACAGGGTAAGTGCTCAATAAATGTTTTCTGGATGAAATTCCTAGTTTTAGAAATGAGAAAGCAGGTGATGTGATCCCAAAATTAGTTGGTGTCAGGGCCCCGTCTTTCCTGTTCTCAGGCTGGCGTGCCATTCCATCACATAGTACATCAGCCCTCCTCCTCCTCGTCCCCCTTCTCTGCTCCCCCTCTGTGGTTCAACCCAGGTAAACCGCCTCCCTATCCAAGTTCATTTTTGAAACACTTCTGGATAAGCAGTAGTTAGAGACTGTTTTCTCGGTCCCTTACACCTAATTTGTCACTGAGTCCTGCCAAGTTAATAAAAATCTTTCTCTTGTTTTCTGGACAGCTCCCTTGCTATTCCAGGCCCTCATCAGCCACCTCCCTGTCTCCTCATGGTCTCCTCTCCCCCCATGTTCCACCCTCATGTCCTCTATTATTTCATAATTTACACAGACTTTGCCCTGTCTGCCCCTTCAAATTCTCCCAGCCTCCTCCAGGCATTCATAGCTCTTCATAATCCTCCCCAGCCACCTGTTCAACTACTCGCCAATAGATTTGCTGTTTGGTGTTTGGATGGTGCCCTGAATATGTCCTGGTTATTTCTGCCTCTGGATAAAGATTTTATTTATTTGTCAGAGAGAGAAAGCAAGTGCACAAGCAGGGGGAGTGGGAGAAGCAGGCTCCCTGATGAGCAAGGAGCCCAATGCAGGACTCGATCCCAGGACCCTGGGATCACGACCTGAGCCAAAGGCAGATGTGTGACCAAATGAGCCACCCAGGCATCCCTGCCTCTGAACTTCTGTTGATGGGTAACATTCCAACGGAAAGATTCCCTTTTGTTCTCCAGACCCCATCTTCCCCACTGTCAAAGGTCATATACGGCTCTGGATTCCCCAGTATCTCACACGTTCTTTGGCAGTGGTGTCCACAAAGGGCTTTCCTCTTTCTGGGACTAATCTTGTCTGTCCTGTGTGTTTATAGGACAGTCAGAAAGACAGATCCCTCACTTTGGGTGGTTTGTGTATAGGTATATATTGCAAAACATTATATTTCCTGGCTATTTGGCTTGGCGACTGAATAATCATGTTTAAATTGCCCTCTTCATTTTATCAATTTTCTCCTATTCTATGGCATTGTATCAACAACGGGACATCCCAGAGTTCTGTGTTTGGTACCAGACAAAATTATTGTGTGTGGGACATCGTAGCATTTTTCTTCATAATTTATAGTTTCTTGAATTTTTTTTCTACCAAAAATATGCCAGTATTTCTTTTTTTTTTTTTTAAAGATTTTTATTTGAGAGAGAGAATGAGATAGAGAGAGCATGAGAAGGGGGAGGGTCAGAGGGAGAAGCAGGCTCCCCGCCGAGCAGGGAGCCCGATGCGGGACTCGATCCTGGGACTCCAGGATCATGACCTGAGCCGAAGGCAGTGGCTTAACCAACTGAGCCACCCAGGCACCCCAATATGCCAGTATTTCTAACTCAGAACCTGTGTCTCAGTTAGTCTTCGTGGCAATGGTGTAGGGGGCAACTGGTAAGGCTAAGAGTTCACTGCACGGCAGCATAGTGGTTTACAGGCCGGATTTTGAACTCAGCATCCCAGACCAAATCCAAGTTCCACCACTGACTAGCTATGTTACCTTGGAAATGTTAAAAATACAAGGTCTGTCTATGCTTCAGTTCCTCACCAAAAACACTGAAGTACTGTAATAACAGAGTTGTTGTTTTGATTAAAGATTGTATCACATTCGAAGCACATGCTGTCCAGTTAATGGCTATTGTTCTTATTTTCATTTTTTTTTTTTTTTGAGAGAGAGTGTGAGCGCGTGCAGGTGGGGGAGGAAGGCAGAGCAGAAGAAGAGGGAAAGAATCCTAAGCAGACTCCACGCTGAGCGCAATGTCCGACTGGTGCTTGATCTCACAACCCTGAGATTATGACCTGAGCCAAAATCAAGAGTTGGACACTTCACTGACTAGCCACCCAGGTACCCCAGCTTTCATTATTATTTGGTGTGATTGACTGAGTCACTAAGTGTACATGACATAGTGTCTTTTCTTTAGAGAGAGAAATTACTCATTTTATTTTAAAATTTTTTATAACATACATACAGAGAAGTGCATCCATCAGCTCAACAAATTTTCTCAAACTGAGCACATCTGCCTAATGGGCACCTGGATCATGGAAGAGAACATGAACCTCACGCACACTCCCTTCCAGGCACTATCCCATCACAACCCATTATCCATAGCATTTTATAAAAAAGATTTATTTATTTATTTGAGAGAGAGAGACAGAGCATGTGCTAGAGGGGGAGGGGCAGAGGGGGAAGGAGAGAGAATCTCAAGCAGACTCTGCACTCAGTGCAGAGCCTGACACGGGGCTCGATCTCACAACCCTGAGATCAGGACCTGAGCCGAAATCAAGAGTCACCCGCTTAACTGACTGAGCTACCCAGGTGCCCCACAGTTTTTTTTTACTATAGTGAAAACACTTAGCATGAGATCTGTCCTCTCAGCAAACGTTTAAGTGCACAATATGGCACTGTGGACTACAGGTGCAATGCTGTATAGCACGTCTCTAGGACTGGGGACACTCCCTTCTGTACCCCCTTGTCCCACTGTCCTGCTGTATTCAGTGGCTCTGAGCAGTGGAGTTTCAGCAGAATTAGACAATTTTGGCTTTCTCTAATAGCTGCAGGAACTGGGGCTAAATATTATGGAAGAGTATTAAACTGTAGGTCCAACTGGAATGTCTGGGCTAGAATAAGATTTAACAGCTAGCGCAGAATGCAAAGTCAAGCTCACAGACCCTCCATGGACTAGGGAGAGATGAGAATTTTATTTTCCTTTAAATATAAATCAACTATGCCAAATGTGGGGTCATGCACAGCCATTCATACCGTTTCAGCAAAAGAAAGGAAACATCTATATAGATATCTTTAAAATGTTACCATTCTTTCTTTGTGCGCCTTTGCCTGTGATTAGGAGTCTAGCACCTAGGAAGGGCCCACTTGACTAGATGGAATAAAAAGGGAGTGGACAGAGGACTTGGCAAAGAAAGCTGACGGCCCCGGGAACACACACCATCCTGGCTAGGAGCTCCTGGTGGCAGTAAGTAGGTGGACAGCAGATGTCTTTACATCGTTGGGAAAAGACAGAAATTTGGGTGGCACTTGCGCAAGTAACAGAAAACTTGGGGACTGTACCCATGGAAAGGCTCCTAGGCCCTACATTTTAGCTCGTAGGGACAAGAATGAGCTCTTAATTATAGAGATGGTTAGTAGTGCCAACCTTGGGATGTATTTGGTGTATTTCAGACAAAAAAAAGGGGAGTCTCCTGCTTGAGCTGAAAACGTTGGTATACAAGTGGGAAATCACACCCCCCCTCAGCACCACAATAGGGGAGCCTACCTTGGACATCCATTTACCCTTCTCCCCACTTTCCTGGGTCTGAAGCTCCTGGTAACACATTGACTTCTGAATGAGAGACGGTCAGCTCTCAGCCCAGGCACCAAGCTGCACTCCTCTTCCGGTGTTTACACCACCCCTTCTGGAAGGTCTGGTCAACTTCAAACCAACTTGGTTTCTGAAGGTGAGAGACCGCCTAGGTTATCTAAGGCAGACATAGAAATTCTTCTCTTTTAAGGCTGACCTCAAGTTACTCATTCATTCATTCAACAAATACGTATTGAGGACCTCTGCCTTTGGATTCACAGCCAGGATAGACTGCAATCCCCAGATAACCTGCCTCTGAGCAGAAGGCACTGGGAACTCGGTCCCGGGGCTGCTTCTCTTCCAGCAAAGGGCAGGAAGCAGCGGTCCCTCACCCACTGGGCTTCCAGAACAGCCCTGCGTCTCTATGTGAGGTGCTCACACTTCAACACAGATGCTGTTAGAAGCTGCAATGTAGATTTTTTTTTTTTTAATCTCAGCAAGTGAAGTTTGAGAAAACTAAGACACCCTATACATCAGGGAAATTGGAAATTATAGCAAGAAATTCACGATTCATTCCCGAGGCATAAAGCCGCATGTACCATGAATGCCACCGAATCTCCAAGGGCTGAATGTTGACCTCAGGCTCACTGGCGAAGGAGGGAGAACATGAAAGACCCCAACATTTAGGGAGTTGTGCTCTTCCTATGCCAGAAAGAGAAAATGAAGGCTGAGATGCTGTTTGCTACAGTAAAAGAGTCAGAGTTTTTGGCCAATGTGCAACGAATCAGTAGTTAGTATAGGAACTGTAGGGCCCCTCCTAGCGTGTGTGCTCTTAAATACGGCCAGGCCATAAGGAAACAGCACGGACATCACCTCTGGCCTTCAAACTTAAGTGCATCCCTTTGGTACACAAAAAAATCTTAACCTTTTTACAAGCATCCTCTGCCACACCTGCCTCTCAGGCCTTCCTTCTGCCCCAGCAACCTACAGCCCACGGCTGTAGCCACAGACAGCTCTGCACATCCAAGCGCCTTCGGTCAGCTGTCCCGTCTGCCTGGAACGAACAGCCTCCCTCCAGGTCCCGCCTGCCAGATTCCCCTGCTCCTTTACGGTCCAGCTCACTTTCCTTATGTACTGATTAGTTACCTGACTTAATCACTCAGCAAATAGTTGTTGAGTATACTATGTGCCAAGTACTCCGTTAACTGCTGGGGTTCAGCACTAGCCCAGAAAAACACTTCTACCCTCATGGAGCCTGCATTCTTGTAGGGGAGGCAGGCGGTAAACAAGAGAAACAGGCAAAGTAAGCAGAACCTTGGAAAGATAGTGGTAAGCGTGAAAGAGAAAAACAGAGCATGGAAAGGATAGAGGGGGTCTGGTGTGTGGGTAGTGGTGGGGTGGGGGGCGGATCTAGTGGTTCTGCAAGGATTTCCAAACCCCACTACCCCAGAAGTGCTCCTTCCCTACACATTCCCGATGTACAGCATAGATCCCTCTATTACAGCATCAGCATTAGCTTCTTCGTATTTACATAGGGGCTATTTATATACATATGGGTGGGGCTCTGCGACTAGAATTGGAGCCCCTAGAGGCTCTGTGTCTTCAAACTCCAGCCCCTAGATACACTTTAGTCAGCCTCTGTTCACACGGTGTTTCCTGAATTGGGAGAGAACTGTGTCCACAGAAGTCAGAATCTAACACGCCCTACTTCTGTTTTTCCCCCTTGGTGCTCTTTTTCCTGCAGCTTTCCCTCCTTGTTTTACTTTCCTGTTTGCATCTGGGGTTTTCTTAATACTCTCCTGAGAAAATATCCTCATAAATTAATTTCCCTCCCGCTAATGACTTCTGAATGAGAACCACCTCTCATCAAATAACTGGGGGAAGAACATGATCTCTTAGGGCAACTCATTGCAGAAAAAATAATTTATTCAAAGGAACCTTCTGTGGGGTTTCAAAAACAGGTCCACAAATCCTTTGATACTTCACCCTTCGGTTTCCTCCACTTGAGCATGGGCTGGACTTAGCGGCTCACTTCCAATGAGTGGAATATGCTGGAAGACATGATGATGTGTGCCTTCTGAAGCTGGGATATAAAAAGCATTGCAGCTTCCTCCTTGCTCTCTGTGGGATCACTTGCTGTGGGGGAGGCCAGCCACCATGTCGTGAGGACACTTAAGCAGCCAGGTCTTGGAAGCAGGTCTGCCCGCACCCCTCACCCTCCACCCCACGCCGGTCAGACCTTCAGAGACTACAGGTGTGGCTGTTACCCTGACTGCAACCTCCTGGGACACTCGGAGCCAGAGCCACCCAACTAGGCCACTCTTGGATTCCTGACCCACGGAAACTACTGGATAACAAGTGCTTGTTGTGCGAAGTCGTTAAGCTTTGAGGTACTCTGTTCTGCAGCAATAGATAATTGAGTTCTGTTCTGGTTCTATGACTGACCTTCAGCAAGTCAGTTAACCTCACTCAGCCTTAGTTCCTCAGCTGTTAGTAAAGTGGGTTTGGGTCAGAGGACTCGAAGCGGCACCGGCTCTCACACCCTGTGCTCCCCAAACAAAACAAAAACACTCTAGGAATAGTGTAGTTTGGGCCAGCTGTGTGTAAAATGTAACAGTCTCGATCTCTCTGGGGGTATTTCTGCCGATTCAGATAGCAAGGCGGTCATTACCTGAACCCACAGATGCAAGCCGGGTCCTGGGAGGTGATATTCAACTTAGAAGGGGAGACACGAGAGTCGCACGCACAGTTTTGCGCTCAGGAGGGGCCTCGAGGAGGTAATATGCTTTCTGTGGGTGTGATCTTCATAGCCCACAGTGTGTTTCTATGAGTAGTATTTCACTAAAAGCTCACGAATCTCCATTCTACAGCTGGGAGGTTGAGGCTTCAGAGAGTTTTGGTAATTTGCTCAAAGCCACACAGTTCTTAAGTTCCAGAGCTGAGAACTGAGCCACGAACTCTCAGTTGCTACGTTCTACCTTCCGTTACTGTCAGCTGCCTCTCTGAGGGCTGGCCTGAGTGCTACACTGGGCAGGCTGAGGACATGGCCTGGCAGGGCCACGGCTCCTTCTGTACGAAGCTGTGCTCCTCCAGGCGGCTGACAGAGCTACATTTCCTATCACACGAGTCCATTCCACCCCGCGCCTGCAGGTGGTTGCACCAGATGGGGGGTCTGCCCTCGGGAAGCCGCCCTAAGGGCGGCAAATGACATGGCCTGGGGCAAAAAGATGAGTGTGGCCAATTAGATTCCATCTTTCTTTCTTTCTTTTTTTTTTTTTAAAGATTTTATTTATTTATTTGAGACAGACAGAATGAGAGACAGAGAGCATGAGAGGGAGGAGGGTCAGAGGGAGAAGCAGACTCCCTGCTGAGCAGGGAGCCCGATGCGGGACTCGATGCGGGACTCGATGCGGGACTCGATCCCGGGACTCCAGGATCATGACCTGAGCCGAAGGCAGTCGCTTAACCAACTGAGCCACCCAGGCGCCCTAGATTCCATCTTTCAAGAATGTTTACTTGGAAGGAGTAAGAGAACAATACACTTACCCTAGGGCAGTAAAGGTTTCGAAGAGGGGAGAGAGATCAGACCGGCCCTAACGGGCCACAGGCAAAGCCAAGATGATGAGGGCACAGCAGCTCAGAGCAAGTGGCGGTGATACGGTGAAGAAAAGGCATACATGGTGTGGGACCTGGAGAGAGGGGCCTGAAGCGGAGCCAGAAGCGAGGTCCCTCCAACTGCCCGGATCCAGGACCGTCCTACACGCCCTGGCTCCACAGGGCCCAGATCGGCCGTGGCCGCTAGGATTTGCTTGCCATGAGAGTCTACCTCGTCCATTCTCCTCCTTGAGCTACCTGAAGACTGCTCTTACCCTGCAACTAAGTGAATTAACTAGAGATGACACAGCTGATACAAAAGATAAAAAACCACAACTGTGTGATTATAAAATTCCAAGAGTCACAAGGGTTAAAACAAAACACACACACAAAGGCCTTCGTGGATTCCGACCACTGAACAGCATAAAACAACGGCAGCACCAAAAGCTGTGTTTCATGGCACCGGGACACAGGACGGGAGCCCTACGCCCTCGCGGGGTGAGCTGCGGCTAGGAATGAACCAGCCACTTCCCAGTTTTTAAGAAACTGCTCCAAACCTTGCAGAAGAGGTATAATCAGCTCACAGAAATACAAAGACCAACTATGACGTATGTGGGGTTTGACTGGCATACGATTAGAGAACAGGCTCGTGAGCTTCTGAGTGTCACTTGTGATGGGCATAAACTAGTGAGGGCCTCAGAAAAGACTGCATTTTGTTAAATGGTGCCCTCTGAGTAGCCTTGACCTGCCAGAAAATGGCCCTTGGCAGCTCGGGGACAGACAGCGTGTGGAGTTCCTGACTAACAATGAAGGGTGCTGGATACGGCTCCCAGCTCTCTCACTTAGTAGCTGTGTGGCCTGGATAAGCAACTGCAACTTCCTCCATCTCTCCAACAAAAAGCACGGACTAGAAGATCACCAAGGCCCATTCCCGCTCTGAAAGTGTGCGTGATTCAAAGATTCTCAGCTACTCTGCCCAGCTAGCAGCGTAAGTAGTCACTCACCATACCCGGATGAGGACCATATTACCACAGTATGTCTAGAAAACCCCAAACAAACGAAAACCCAGAACACACAGTCTGGCCACAGGGCAAATTCTTTAAAATCACAATAGTTCCATAAACTGCTTAATGCCTAAACCGGGACACATGGCTTCCCTAGGCCTATTCTTCTTCTAGAAGGGCCTGAATGGTGACTAAAAATAAAAGGACTCTTTTGCATGACTCATTTCTTACCTCATTTTTTTTAAAGATTTATTTGTTTATTTATTTATTTGAGACAGAGAGAATGAGAGAGAGAGAGCACATGAGAGGGGGGAGGGTCAGAGGGAGAAGCAGACTCCCTGCCAAGCAGGGAGCCCGATGCGGGACCCGATCCAGGGACTCCAGGATCATGACCTGAGCTGAAGGCAGTCACTTAACCAACTGAGCCACCCAGGCGCCCACTTATCTCATTTTTTTTTAAAGTAGGCTCCACACCCAACGTGGGGCTTGAACTCATGACCCAGAGATCAAGAGTCGCATGCTCCACTGACCAAGCCAGCCAGGCAGCCCTCTTATCTTGTTTACATTTAAGATAATTCAAGGTCAAAAGTATAGAAATATAGACAACTTTGACGTCTTGCCCCTTTTTTGTCTCTTCCTTTTTTTCTAAAAGAATCTGGAAAACGTAAGCCTCCTCTGGCTTCTTTCTTTCAGGCTTTCTTATAAAAACACTGGTGGCCACACCCTGCTCCTTATTCAGCACCTTATTAAACCTCTAGGCAAACAATGAATCATGGAACATTACATCAAAAACTAATGATGTAATGTATGGTGATTAACATAACCATAATAAAAAAAAGAAAGAAAGAAAGAAAGAAAAAAAAAACCTCTAGGCCAATTATTTACAGTCCCCTCCAACTTTGCTTTGCCCTAAGCCCCGCAGCATCTGCCTGCGGGAGGTGTGCAGGGTGCATCTGGTCCCAGGCCTCAGTGACACATGACGAGCTGGTGTACGAGTTATTCATTTAACTATTGTCATGCTCATCATTTCTTTTTTTTTTTTTTTTAAGATTTTATTTATTTATTTGGGACAGAGAGAATGAGAGAGAGCACATGAGAGGGGGGAGGGTCAGAGGGAGAAGCAGACTCCCTGCCGAGCAGGGAGCCCGATGCGGGACTCGATCCAGGGACTCCAGGATCATGACCTGAGCCGAAGGCAGTTGCTTAACCAACTGAGCCACCCAGGCGCTCCATGCTCATCATTTCTAATGGAACAGTGTTCAGGGTTTTAAAGCTTCCAGCCTCTTGTCCCTCCGTTGGGAAAGGATTTGGAACTCTGACTGTGGGCTCTTCCCCTCAGAGGATCGATGCACTTTAGAAAGAAAATCTATCAGTCCCCCCAGAAGGCCCAGAGAGCCTAAATGCAGGAGGGTGGTTTGTCCTGCATTTTAATATCCCTGAAACATGGTGGTAAGTAGATTTTTTTCCCCCTAAAACCCTCTAAAGCCATTTTAGGATGTCCTGAAATCCCCATCTGACTGCTCCCCTCGGCACCTCTTCATCCGCAGGCTACAGACCCCTCCCTGCCACCCCCCTTCTCTGGGAATGACATGCTCAGCCCCTGGGACTGGCACAGTGTGGCACTTGCATGGTGGACTCCATTAACCCTCAGGACACCATGGGACAGCCCAGTAGAGATGGTGGTGGAGCCCTAGGCCAAGAGTCAAGAGTCTGGGCGGCCACTGGTTCTTCCCCTACGTGGCTGGTGATCTTGAGCAAGCCAGTCCGTGAAAAAAATACAAATAAAGGCCCCCTTGAGCTCTGCCTTCGTGTTCTGATTCACAGCTTGTCCTTCACTGAGTCCCGTGGCGGCCAAGGCCGAGGACTGAGCCCAAGTGTGGTTGGTGATCAGCCGCAGCCACCGAGCGCTGGGGCCTTTGGGGGCCCCACCGTGTGCTCTGCTATGGATGGCCACTTGGAAGGACATTCTGCTTAAATGTCCCCATTTATCCTTGCCATTCTGAGATTACAATACCCTTCTGAAAGAAATGAGGGAAAAGTCTGTCTCGTTCCTGCTCCAGACACAGTATCTTAGTTCCCATTTAAAAATGTCTCTTGCTATAAGTTCCTTGATGGAAAATTCTATTCTCTTCTTTTAGTGCCCCGCATCCCAGAATAGCCAGCACTGCTTTAAGAACTTATTCTAAATGTCAGCCAGCTTATCCACAATGCACACTCGTACCTTAACTCCTTGACCACAAGCTACTACCCAGTGACCACTGCTCCTTGACTACTTAACTAAGAGTAATAAATGCTACTCTTCTCTCTGTCCCTATCTCACACTGTTCAATGCCATTCCCTGGTTCCTATAGCAAGGTCACTCAAAATCATCCTACTGTCTGAAAGAAGGCAAGTGAGAGAAGGCACATCTTGCGATGTCAATCCATGCAGTTTAAGAAAAACACACTATACTGTACTTGTACTTGTCAAAACCCCAAATGTCATTTAACCTAACGCGTTTGCTATTTTGTTCTTGCTGTCAGCAAACCTGAAGACGAATTCACTTCCAACATGGTAGTGGGGACTCAGATGGCTCACAACCCCTTGCTCATTCCTTTTCTGAGTCCTCATCGTATGATCTTCTTCTAAACCTTTTACATTCTTTATAAGCGAACAAACTTCTCAACAGTAAGGAGCCCTGCTCATGACTTTTTGAGGAAAGAGAGGTCATAAAATGTGAGCATGCTCTGCTTCGTTCTCTCCCTATTCCTCCATTGCCTAGGGAACCAGGTTCAAGACACTGAGCATCTAATTTAGGGCCTCTCAGATCCAATTCCTCAATCTCTTCAACTCATCTGCTACCAGACTGACCGTCTGCTCCAAGTCACAGCGACACTTGCTGATTCCCAAACATACCCAACATGTTCCCAACTCCCTGACTCATATGTATGGTGTTTTCTGTCCAGAAGAGGTTCTACCTCTCTCTCCCAAGCCACACCCCTCTCACCTTCTGGAAATCCTTCCCCACATTCATGCCCAGCTCAGATGAACCCATCCACAAGCAGTTCCAAATAATTCCCTCCTTCCCTTTCTAGCGGAGTGTGATTTGTACACACTACAGCACATTTTTGCTTTGGATATTCATCTATGTTCCTGCATCTTCCATAGGGTTCAAAGTGCCTTAAAAGTACAGCCTGGGTTGTTTTTAAAATTGTTTATATAGAGAGGATTTTCAATTATTGTTGATTTAAATTTGCTGAAATAGATAGTGCTACACTCTGATTCCTCACATTTTTGAAACTTCTACATCCCCTATTTCCTCCATATGGACTCTCTTATGTTTATTTTTGAAATTCTTCATCTTAGAGTTTTAGTTAAATTCTCAAGTACTTCTGGGAAATAGGTGGAGTGGATATTTTAAATGCTTTTTATTGGTTTATAATTTTGGACTTTTCATTGGGTCATCATTAATTTTGAGGAAATTCCTCATATTTCTTTAAACATTAATCTGTTTAAAATATATTTTATATATCGAGAGGGAAAAAAGCAATGCTCCTTTACAATATAGGGAGAGAGGAGTTATGAGTCTCAAAGAGACTTTTGCTATACATTAATACTCTTCTGTACAAAATAAGCACAAGCTGTGGAGGAGGGAATTAGAGACATATACGATGGATTGCCACTAACTATTTTTCTGATAATACGAGATAGTATGGCAAAGAATTCTAGGTGCCTCCCAAGTCCATTCTGCCCTGATTTCTTAGTAATGAAGACTCATTTTTTTTGAGGGGCTGTACATTGCCACCTAGTAAAGGAGTATTTTCTCCAGGTCTCCTTGCAGCTAAAGTAGCCATGTTATCAGACTGGCCAGTGGGATGAAAGCCCGAGTGCCAGCTTCCAACTAGTCTCCTAGGTGTGTGGGGGTGTGGGGGATGGCTCTTCTTCCCTGTTGCCCAGCCCACCCCCTGCAACACCTGCCATCTTGGACTATGAGTTAGAGCACACCCTATGAAGAATGGAGGAATGAGCTAGAAGGAGCCCGAGTACGGATGATGCTGTGCGTCTTTTCCACCAGTCCTAGACTACTTATCCTCAGGTGTCTGCTACGTGAGAGAAAAACCCCAAACTTCTATCTTATTTAAGCCAGTGCCATTTGGAGCTTTTGTGTGTAGCTGAGCCTTCTAATCCTAACTGATACAGATGAGAGGATTTTCTGAAGGTAGAAAGGGGAGTTTTGGAAATGTTTTTAATCTCCACGATTCTCTATTCTGATCGGAAAGGAAAGGAAATTCAAAAGCAGCTTGCATCCAAGGACCATATATCTTTGACAAAAGAAGACAGGGAGTGAGGGGACGCCCCAGAACCAATTCTGAGAGCTGAGCTCTGAGGCCTGATGCCTGCAACATGGATGTTCCAAAAGCCAAATGACCAGAACAGATTGGAACAGATGGAAGGGGCAAGTTTTCAGAGGTCAGGCCGTAGCATTCTTAGAAGACTCAAGGACTGCTGGCATAAGCAGAGCCCAGAAAGTCTCATCTAACAGAGAAGATACGAAACAAGCTGTAAATCAGCATAAGAAGTAAATATGGGACAACCTAGAGTGGTCAATGATGACTGAGGTTTTATGAGAGTATCTGTATAAATATACATTCTTCTCAAATTTGTTTCATTTTATGTATTCTAATGTTCACAAACTTAATACTTACAAGAGTGTTTCCAAGTTTACTGTCTTAAAAACATCTTTACATGAAAGATCCCCCTACCTGAACCCTCCTACACTGTTGGTGGGAATGCAAGCTGGTGCAGCCACTCTGGAAAACAGTATGGAGGTTCCTCAAAAAGTTGAAAATAGAGCTACCATACGATCCAGCAATTGCACTACTGGGTATTTACCCCAAAGATACAAATGTAGGGATCCGAAGGGGTACATGCACCCCGATGTTTATAGCAGCAATGTCCACAATAGCCAAACTGTGGAAAGAGCCAAGATGTCCATCGACAGGTGAATGGATAAAGAAGATGTGGTATATATATACAATGGGATATTATGCAGCCATCAAAAGGAATGAGACCTTGCCCTTTGCAACGACGTGGATGGAACTGGAGGGTATTACGCTGAGCGAAATAAGTCAAACAGAGAAAGACACGTATCATATGACCTCACTGATAATGAGGAATTCTTAATCTCAGGAAACAAACTGAGGGTTGCTGGAGTGGGGGGGGGGTGGGAGGGATGGGGTGATAGACACTGGGGAGGGTATGTGCTATGGTGAGCACTGTAAATTGTGCAAGACTATTGATTCACAGATCTGTACCTCTGAAACAAATAATGCAATATATGTTAAGGAAAAAAAAAAGAAGATAGCAGGAGGGGAAGAATGAAGGGGGGGAAATTAGAGGGGGAGATGAACCATGAGAGACGATGGACTCTGAAAAACAAACTGAGGGTTCTAGAGGGGAGGGGGGTGGGAGGATGGGTTAGCCTGGTGGTGGGTATTGAGGAGGGCACGTTCTGCATGGAGCACTGGGTGTTATGCACAAACAATGAATCATGGAACACTACATCAAAAACTAATGATGTTAATGTATGGTGATTAACACAACAATAAAAAATTAAAGAAAAACATAAAAAAAGAAGAAAGATCCCCCTACCTGCCTAATTGACTGTACAATCATGTGCGGTTTTGTTTTCTCTTTTTAATTTACTAAGGAGACTCTTTCGGATGCTTTCCTACTTGTTAAAAGACCCACACAGTTTCCTGGTAGGAGCTACAAAAATTGTAGGACATGTGTGGGTGATGGGATAATTAGCTTCTCGAGGATTAGTCTTGATTTTTTAAACCTGTTTGGTAGTGATGAATAGCAACCAACTTTGCTTTAACCCCAACATGGCAGTCTGGTATCTCCATCAGTCTCTTCTTTGGTTGCTCTGTGTTTCCCCATGATGAACTTTAGTCCTGCTGCCTGTAATCCCCGCCTGCCCATGTGAATGTAGCCCTCTGCAGACGTCAGGCTTCAGAGACTCCCCTGCATGGTAAGTATTAACTCCCTGCACCTTTCCCAGCCTGCATTTGTCTGACCTTAGTGTCCAGTCTTCCGAGTTCCAACCACAAGAGCCTTTTTGTGCTTTATTGGTTTTAACTCTTCTGTTCCTGCTTCTGAAATCTTTGTTCAGGCCATGCTGGATGCATGAAAAATACTTTCTATTCATTTGCTCTGCCAACCAACCCTCTCCCATGCTAACCTCACAGGTTTATCTCCTCCAGGGAGTCCTCCTGAACAATTAGGAACTAGGTTTCCACACACTCACCCAGTTTTCAACCACAGTCATTTCCTTAAAATTTGTGTCATTTAATGGAGGAATATACGTTTTCTTTTATAATTAACATGGCTTTTCCAGCTAAAAGAATCTTGCCCCAAGCACAACTGTGCATCCTTTCTTGAAAGTTTCATCACATGCAGAGAGTCTGTCTATTCCTCACATCAGCTTTCTTTCTCCCTCATCATCCATTCTCTTGTATGAAGTTTTTCCTAGCTAACTAAAAACTGTTTCCAAGATGCAATTTAACCGCCTCCTCACTACATCATCAATGTACTTGGCACCCACATAAGTGAGATGTGTCCTTCTAAGTGCATGGCTTTATTAAATTAGCATTATTCCACAGTCTCATAGACCCTGTATTTCCTTTATGCCTGAGTGGACTGCAAGTCAGGAGACCTAAAACTAGTCCTGCTTCTCCTGGTTATATGAATTCAAGCCTAGTTTTTTCACTTTTATGAGCTTCAGATTCTTAATCTACAAAATGAAAATCATGAAGGAGTCTTCTAGATCTAAGGTTCTGCTATTCTCGATCTGTGAGTTAATTCCCTGTTGGGACTACTTCAACCCCCTGGCACTGTCATTCAACCTGAAACACCTCCACTCCTCACTCCAAGGGCAGGTGGCAGTTCTTATAACCTATTTTTTTTTTTATTGTGTTTAGCACATGGCCAACAGTTTTGATACAATATGGAAAGAAAGCTAAATATACTTGAACAAATCTGCAAATTTCAGAGATAGGGAATAGAGGAGTGTGTCCTGTGGACTTCCTAATTACTGCAGATCCTCAGAAGACACACGGCAAGGAACAATGAGTTCTCTCCCTGTCTCCTCCTGGGGAAATTGCTATATTAGATCAAACCCTTCCATGAGGAGAAGCTACATTTCATTTTCTTTCTTTCCTTTTTTGTCAAGACAGCTTTCTTCTTCTTCTTTCTTTTTTTTAAGATTTTATTTATTTATTTGACAGAGAGAGACACAGCGAGAGAGGGAACATAAGCAGGGGAAGTGGGAGAGGGGGCAGCAGGCTTCCTGAGGAGCAAGGAGCCCGATGCGGGGCTCAATCCCAGGACCTGGGATCATGACCTAAGCCGAAGGCAGACGCTTAATGACTGAGCCACCCAGGCGCCCCCTTCTTTTTTTTTTTTTTTTTAGATTTATTTATTTGTCAGAGAGAGAGAGAGACAGTGCGAGCACAAGCAGGGGGAGCGGCAGGCAGAGGGAGGAGCAGGCTCCCAGCCAAGCAAGGAGCCCAATGCAGGACTCGATCCCAGGACCCTGGGATCATGACCTGAGCTAGAGGCAGGCGCTTAACTGACTGAGCCACCCAGGCATCCTGCTACATTTCATTTTCCAGAAGCCTTATAATCATGGTGAATGGGGATGGGATACGGGGGCAGTGGAAGGGGTCTGTAGCTACAGCTGCTTGAATGCTCAATTGTGTGGAGCTCTAAATCCTGGTTTTCCACCCAGTGAACCTGTTTCCTGGCCTCTTCATTCTGGGTACAAGAAGACTGTTTCTCAGGCCTAGCTGTAACTGTGACAGTTGAGGCAGCCTCATGATGCTGTGAAGATCCAGGAGAACTCTTTAAAGAGTCCATATATAGTTGATTACTTGTTCGTACAGTTTAATCCTCTCTGGACTGTCCATAGTAACTGGAGGATACTGCTGCCTAGCTCCAAGGGCCATTTTAGAGATGATGTTGTTTACAGGCATAGATCAGTGAATGCCAGGGTTTCAATGGAACTTAAGAGATTATGTGTTCACTTATCATTTAATACCTTGTCATTTCCCAAAAAAGTACCTGGAGAGGTTTATAAAATATATACATATGTTAAGACATTTAAAATATAAAACTAGGGGTGCCTGGGTGGCTCAGTCGGTTAAGAGTCTGCCTTCGGCTCAGGTCATCGTCTCAGGGTCCTGGAATGGAGCCCTGCATTGGGCTCTCTGCTCGGTGGGGAGTCTGCTTCTCCCTCTCCTCCCTGCTTGTGCTCTCTGTCGCTATCTCTGTCTGTCTCTCTTTCAAATTAAAAAATATATATATTTAAAATACAAAACTAAACAGAGAGGGGAAATTCATAGCTCCCTTGTTTACACATAAGGAACAGAGACTCAGAGAGACAAAGTGATTGGCAAAGACAAAGAGCTGGGACCAGAAACCCTTCCGTTTGTTACTGGTGACTTTGATTCCAGGCTGATAGTTCCCCTCTCCACCCCAAGTTCTGCCAGCATCTTGAGTGACTTTATCCACCCCAAGTTCTGCCAGCATCTGGAATGACATCACCTCGAATGACATCATCTCAAATGACATCATCTCCCTGTGGGAAGCCCCTCCAGCCCCTTGGCCTCTTGGTTGACCTTCTCGTCTCCACTGAGCTCCTCCTTCACTCCACTTCGGCAGTCCCTTCCCATGTTCACATCTTGGATCTCACGGTCACCATTTTTGACTGTCTGACTTCCACAACACTACATTAGACATCTTCCTATCTTCAGCAGCATTCTACACATTTTGATAGGTTGTATTTTTATTTTCATTCAATTCAACTAATTTCCCTTTTGGTTTCTACTTTGACCCATGGGTTATTTAGAAGTGTATTATTCAGTTCTCAAATACTTGAAAATTTCCAGAGATCTTTTTGCTAGTTATTTCTAATTCTATTGTGGCAGAAAACATACTTTGCACAACGTGAATCCTTTTAAATGTATTGGAACTTATTTTATGGCCCACAAAATGGTCCCTTTCAGTAAATATTTTATGAGCATTTGAAAAGGATGTGTATTCTGCTATTGTTGGGTAGAGTGTTCTATAAATGTTAACGAGGTTGGGCGCCTGGGTGGCTCAGTTGGTTAAGCGACTGCCTTTGGCTCAGGTCATGATCCTGGAGTCCCTGGATCGAGTCCCGCATCGGGCTCCCTGCTCGGCAGGAAGTCTGCTTCTCCCTTGACCCTCCCCCCTCTCATGCTCTCTCTATGTCATTCTCTCTCTCTCAAAGAAATAAATAAAATTAAAAAAAAATGTTAACGAGGTCAAGATGGTAGATTGTGTTCAAGTCTTCCATATACTTACTTATTTTCTATTTATTCTAGCAATTTTGAAAGAGGGATGTGAAAGGGCACCTGGGTGGCTCAGGTAGTTAAGCGTCTGCCTTTGGCTCAGGTCAGGATCTCAGGGTCCTGGAATCGAGCCCCGTGTCGGGCTCCCTGCTCAGCAGGGAGTCTACTTCTTCCTCTCCCTCAGCCCCTCCTCCCCACTCATGCTTGCTCTCACTCTCAAATAAATAAATAAAAGAAATAAAATCTACAACTGTAATTGTTGATTTGTCTATTTCTTCTTGCAGTTCTATCAGTTTTTGCTTCATGTATTTTGAGGTTTTGTTATTACATGCGTTAGAGTTTAGAGTTTTTAGGTCTTTCTGACAATCATTGTGAAATATCCATCTTTATTCTTGGTAATATTTTTTGCTCTGAAATATACTTTGGCTGATATTAATGTAGCCATTCAAGATTTCTTTTGGAATAATGTTAGAATGTTGTATTTTTTTAAAAGTCCTATTTGTATATTCACATTTAAAGTGCATTTCTTGTTGGCAGCATATAGTTGAGTCTTCTTTTTTTTTTTTTAATCCACTATGACAAGCTTTGTCTTTTAATTGGGATGTTTAGGCAATTTAAATTTACTATGATTAGAATATGATAAGGTTTGAGTCTATTTTCTTGTTATTTGTTTTCTATTTTTCTTTTCTGTTTTGTTCCCTTTTCCTTTCTTTTGGATTACCTGAGAATGTTTTATGATTCCATTTTATGTCCTTTGTTGGCTCATGTTATGGGCTGAATTCTATCCCTCCCAAATTCGTATGTTGAAACCCCAAATCCCAATGTGACTGCATTTGGAGATAAGACCTTTATGGAGGTAATTAGGGTTAGATGAGGTCCTAACGGTGGGTCCCTAATCTAGTAGAACATGTCCTCATAAGAAGTGGAAAGAACATGAGAGCTCTCTCTGTGTAAACACAGAAGAAATGGCCATGTGAAGGCATCTACAAGTCAGGAAGAGAGACCTTATCAGAAATGAAATTTGCCAGCAACTTGATCAGGGACTTCTAGCCTCCAGAACGGTGAGAAAATAAATGTGTTGTTTAAGCCACCCGGACTGTGCTATTTTGTTATGGTAGCCCAAGCAGACTAAGATAGCTTACTGGTTATAACTCTTTGTTCTGTTATTTTAGTGATTGTGTTAGGATTTATACTATACATTTTTTTTGAGAGTTTTTTTTTTTATGTTATGTTAGTCACCATACATCATTAGTTTTTGATGTGGTGATCCATTTTTAACTTATCACAGTTACCTTCAAGTGATATTATACCACTTCATGATAGTGTAAGTATCTTATAATACTACACTTCCATTTTTCCCTTCCTGATGTTTATGCTATTATTGATGTACAGTTTACTTTACATATGTTACAAGCCACACATTTCATTTTTATTGCTTTTGTTCAAATATTCAATTATTTCCTTTAAACAAAACTTCCCAGACTCTTCATTTTAATTTTCAAATTCATTAGATACATATTAGCTGTACTCCAAATGACAGCAAATGACAGTTTTCCAAATGTTTCAACACTGCACAATGTAGGTGTCCATTTTTCTGGCCTCCGATAATACTTGACTCCATCTTTAGCCCATTTCCAAAGCCAATACCACATATTTTGTTTTTTGTTGTTGTTGTTCTTCTTTTTCTTTTAAAAAATTTTGGTATCGCAGCATCCCAGTTCTAGGTAGCAATTTCTGTATTAGCTTTGCTGGAATAATAAACATACCATGCATCATAAAAATTTAAAGGACAAGAAAGCTTAAAATGATTGCATTTTATCTGACTTTAAAATCTCTATGCCAGCTTTCTATTGGTGAATATTTGTCTGGTGTATCTTTTTCCATCACTTTATTTTCTATATCACTGTTTTAGATTTTTATGTTTTACACAGTGTATACCTGAATTTTGTTTTAAAGATCAAATTGGAAAGTATTTGTATTTTAATCAATATATTAAATCCATTTGCATTTATTGTTTTAACAACGTATTTGGGCTTCTTTCTGACTTTTTTTGTTTGTATTTTCTACTCACCATGAATTCTCTTTGCATCTTTTATTTTCTTTTCTCTCAGACTGATAAAGATCAATGTATTCTCCTTACTTTCCTCTACCACTATTGAAAGTGTATAGTCTATTTCTATTCTTTTGGTGGCAATCCTAACATTATCCTTACCAATGTGTATTTTTCTAACAAACTCTAAGTTAATTCCTACTTTTATCCTGCTTTGAAGTCAGACAAGGATCTGAGCTTGTTTAACCCTCCCTCAGATCACTCCATTTTGTTTCAAGAGGTTAGTATTCTTTTTATTCTTACTATTTGCACTCAACATTAAATTATATTTACCACAATGTTTTAATGTTTCTTTAACTTACAATATTTTTTTGCATTTAATCCCTCCCTTCTGGGTTCATTTTTCTTTTTGCAAAAAAGCAAGAACTTTATGAGCCTTCTTAAATTGTAATTTTGCTGGGCATAGAATTCTAGGTCATAGGATTTTCTATTGGAACATTGATGCTCTTACAGTGTCTTCTTAGTCTCTGTTGTAGTGGATGAGAAGCCTGCTATCAAACTGATTGTTGTTCCTTTGGGTAACCGGTTCTTTCTCTCTCTTGTTGTTAAGATTTGTTATTATTCTTGATTTTCCCTGGTTTCCCTACAGTGTTTCTATATTTCCTAATTTCTGGAAAATTCTTGGTCATTTTCTATTTGAAAAATGTTTTCTTGCTGTCCTCCTCACTTTATCCCAGAATTCTTATTGAAATTATTTTTCATCCCATCTCTTTTATCTGGCTGTGCTCTAAGAGATTTCTTCACTTCTGTTTTCCAAATTGGTAATTCTCTCTTCGTCTGTGTGAATTCTTGTCTTAAAGTCACTTGTTTCTGTTTTATATATAGTATTCTTCTTTTACCACTTTGTCTCTTTCATACTGCGCTTTATGTATAAATCTTGTTTCTTTATCCTGGCATTTGCTATTTTTAGTGCTTTTCATTTCTTTGTGTGGATCCATATTTCCCTTTTGGTATCATTTCCTTCTCTGTAAGGGTCTCCCCTTAACATTCTCTGTAGTGTGGATCTGCTGGCAAAGAATTTTTTCCTCAGCTTTTGTATGTCAGAAAAAAAATCTTCATTTTTGAGAGGTATTTTCACTGGGTATAGAATTCTAGGCTGACAGTTTTCTTTTTACTTTCAGTACTCCATTCAGGGGCTCCACTGTCTTCTTGCTTGCCTTGTTTTCAATGAGAAATATGCCTCATCCACATACTTGTGCCTCTGTATATAGTGTATTTGTTTTTCTCTGGTTGCTTTCAGGATTTTCTCTTTTATCACTGGTTTTGAGCAATTTGATTATGATAGATCTTGGTATAGTTTTCTTCATAGTTCTTGTGCCTGAGGTTTATAGGGATTCCTGGATCTATGGTTTATAGACTTTGTCAAATTTGAAAAATTTTCAGCCATTATTATGTTAAATATTTTTCTGTCCCTCTTCCCCTATGGGAAACTCCAATTACATGAATATTAGGGGGCTTAGTTGTTCCACAGTTCACTTATACTTTGCTGCTTTTTTAAAAATGATTTTGTTTATTTATTTGAGTGACAGAGAGCATAAGCCAGGGATGAGAGGGAGAAACAGGCTCCCCACTGAGCAGGGAGCCCAACGTGGAGCTCAATCCCAGGGCCCTGAGATCAGGACCTGAGCTAAAGGCAGACATTTAACCAACTGAGCCATGAGACACTTTGCTCTTTTTAAAAAATTATTTTTTTCCATGTGTCTCATTTTGGATAGTTTCTATTATTGTGCTTTCAAGTACACTTAAGTTCTCTCCTGCGGTGTCTAATCTACTGTTAATCCCATCCTGCTATTTTTCACCTCAGCCACTGTAGTTTTCACCTAGAAGTTCAAACATGGATTTTTCTTTATGTTTTCCATGTCTCTACTTAATTTGAATGTATGGAATACTTTAAATAATAACTGTTTTTAGGTCTATCTCTGCTAATTTGAACATCTGTGTCAATTGTGGCTAAGTTTCAATTAATCCCCCTTCCCCCCATTATGGGTCATATTTTCCTGTTTCTTTGCATGCCTGGTAATTTTGGATTAGATGCCAGACATTGTGGATTTTACCTTACTGGATGCTCAATATTTTTGTATTCCTACTATTTTATATCCCTACCTATTCATAAGCTTTGTCCTGACATGCTGGTAAGTTACTTTGACAGACTGATCCTTTTAAGACTTGTTAGGCTGAACCAGAGCCTAGTTTGTTGAGGGCTTACTATTTCTCAGTATGAAGGTAAGACCCTTCTCAGTACTCTACCTGATGCCCTGTGAATTTCAGATGTTCTAGTCTGGCTGGTGGGAACAGGCACTATTCCAGGCCCTTTGTGGGCACTGGGTACCTCTTTACTCTATTTCAGGTAATTCTTCCCCATCCTGGGGAAGTTTCCTCATATGCTGATCAATACTTTGATGAATACTTGAGGGGCCCTCTGAAGATCTCCAGAGTTCTCTTTCTGTGCAGCTTTCTTCTCTCCATTCTTCTGTTCCATGAAGTCTGGCTGCCTTGGTCTCACTGGACTTTCAGCTCCATCTTTTAACTCAAGAGACACCCTGCACTAAACCTGGAAACTCAAGGCAGCAAGCTAGGGTATTCATAGGGCTCACTCTGTTTGTTTCCTATCTCTCAGTGATTACTCTGTTCTTTGTTGTCTGATGTCCAGTGTCTTGAAAATTGTTGTTTCTTATATTTTACCTGGTTTTCTGGTTGTTTTGGGCAGAGAGTGTATATCTAGTCCTTGCTTCTCTATCTTGGTCAGAAGCAGAAGTCTCACATCTTCCTTCCTGAATGCAACTTATTGTCCTTCCAACGTGCTTATTTAATTACTCTTACTATGATTTTTCTTTAACCCTATTGGGACCTCTAGTTCATGGAGACCTCTACTTTCTCCCAATCCATTAATACTCTTCCTTCATCACTTTCCTTCTCATGCAGCTTGGTTTTCATGATCCATTATTTCAGGAATGCTCTTACCAATGTCCTCAATTTCCTCGCCCCTCTCTGCTCATTTAGCTCAGCTGTTTACATGGTAGAAAATCAATGTATTTTGAAATGAATTGATAAATAAATAAGAAAACAGAGCATATATGTTAATTTCTGACAACCTCTTTGCCTATATTTCAAAACTAAACATTTTTTTAAACATTATTGCTTTATAGTACTATATCTCTTTTATCAGTGCAGATGACAACTATATATAAAATTAGGTTGTCCTTTATCTATAACTGTCATTTACCCAAGTCTACATTACTTAGGATGTGTGCTTGTTGATTTTTCTAACTAAAAGTCATGGACTTCTGGTTAATAATTAAGTCAGTAATAGAAAAACAATGTTTAAGCATGAATGAAATTTAGAGGTAACTTCCTATTATTTTCCAGTTTTACAAATGACAAAACTGAAGTTTTCAGAAGATAGATGATTTGGCTAAAATGTTTTTCAAAGCTCATATAGCTGCTTAACAGCAAAATTAGGACCCAAACCAAACTTCTTGACTCCAACCTAGGGTTCTTTCCATCTCACAGCAGCACTGTATTTTCTTGCCCAGGTCTGCTTGTATCCAATACTCCATGTTTGCAGACAATTTGGATGTGGTTTATAGTAGAGCTTGTCCTGGCTTACCAGTGATACCATAAACTACTTAATGTTGGGGTGACCACAAGATTTCTAGAATAAAGTCATGCAATCTTATAACACAACTTATAATAGGAGCACTGTGGCACATATGTCATGTCCTTACACTTGGGTAGAACATCCTTTCAAACATTAGTTAGTGACTCTTCCATAGGGGATTCAATAAATTCACATCCCTCCTTTGTAACACCCTACTGTGTAGAATCCAAAGCCAGATGCCAATAGAGAACTCTACAGGCTAATATATAATATAATAAATCAAGCCCTAAGATATAGAAGGGCTCATGGCCCTCTAGACTGATCAGGACATTGTACCCTCAAAAATTTGTTCCCTAAGTCTGGAAAAAGTTTCAAGAAGAACAAGAAGACTTCTCATCTCTATACTCTGACTATGCATTAACATTAATACATATAGGGGCTGATAGTCATGGACAAAGCCTAGTGGAAGTTAGGCAGTGGCAGTAACAGACAACAAACAATTAGTTTACATGAGTAACATTATTTCAATGTACAAGCATACTTGTTTTACCATGCTTTGCTTTATTCTGCTTTGCATGTACTGTGCTTTTATAAATTGAAAGTTTGTGGAAACCCTACACTGAGCAAGTCTACTGGTACCATTTTCCAACAGCATTTGCTTACTTTGTGTTTCTATGTCACATTTTGGTAATTCTCACAGTATTTCAAACTTTTTCGTTATTATTATGTTTGTTATGGTGATCTGTGATCAGCAATCTTTGATGTTACTATGGTAATTGTTTGCCATGAACTGTATCCATGTAAAATTAAGCAAACTTAATTAGTAAATGTGGTGTGTTCTGACTGCTCCGTTGATGGGCTATCCCCCCATATCTCCCCTTCTCCTTGGGCCTCCCTATTCCCTGAGACACAGCAATATTGAAGTCGGGCCAACTAATAACCCTACAAAGGCTTCTAAGTGTTCAAGTGAAAGAAAGAGTCTGTATATCTCTTACTTTAAATCAAAAGCTAGAAATAATTAAGCTTCCTGAAGAAGGCATGTTGAAAAGCCAAGATAGGCCAAAACTAGGCCTCTTGCACCAAACAGTTAGCCAAGTTGTGAATGCAAAAGAAGAGTTCTTGAAGGAAATTAAAAGTGCTATTCTGGTGAACACAAAAATGATAAGAAAGTAAAACAGCCTTATTGCTGATTTGGAGAAAGTTTCAGTGGTCTGGATAGAAGATCAAACCAGACACAACATTTCCTTAAGCCAAAGCCTAATCTGGAGTAGGACCCTAACTCTCTTCAATTCCAGGAAGGCTGAGAGAGGTGAGGCAATTGCAGAAGAAAAGCTGAAAGCTAGCAGAGGTTGGTTCATGAGGTTTAAGGAAAGAAACTGTCTCTAACATGAAAGGGCAAGGGGAAGCAGCAGGTGCTGATAGAGAAGCTGCAGCAAGAGTCTAGCTTACGTAATTCATGATGGTGACTACATTAGACAATAGGCTTTCAGTATAGACAAAACCACCTTCTGTTGGAAGAGATGCCATAGCTAGAGAGGAGAAGTCAGTGCCTGGCTTGAAAGCTTCAAAGGACAGGCCGCCTCTCCTGTTAGGGGCTAATGCAGCTGGTAACTTGAAGTTGAAGCCAGTGCTCATTTCCCATTCTGAAAATCCCAGGGCCCTTAAGAATTATGCTAAATCTACTCTGCCTGTGCTCTATGAATGGAACAACAAAGCCTGGATGACAGCACATCTGTTTACAACATGATTTACCAAAAATTTTAATCCCCCTGTTGAGACATACACTCAGAGAAAAAGATTCCTTTCAAAATATTACTGCTCATTGACAATGCACCTGGTCACCCAAGAGCTCTGATGGAGATGGACAAGATTAATGTTGTTTTCATACCGGCTAACACAACATCCATTCTGCAGCCCATGAATCAAGAAGTAATTTCAACTTTCAAGTCTTATTATTTAAGAAATACATTTTGTAAGACTCTAACTGCCGTAGATAGTGATTCCTCTGATGGATCTGGGCAAAGTACACTGAAAACCTTCTGGAAAGGATTCACCGTTCTAGCTGCCATTAAGAACATTTGTGACTCATGGAAAGAGGTCAAAATAGCAACATTAACAGGAGTTTGGAAGAAGTTGGTTCTTGCACTTGTGAAGTGCAAGACTCCAGGGGAGGAAGTAACTGCAGATGTGGTGGAAATAACAGGAGAACTAGAATTAGAAGTACAGCCTGATGATGGGACTGAACTGCTGCAATCTCATGATAAAATTTTAAGAGATGAAGAGTTGCTTTTATGGATGAGCAAAGAAGCCGGTTTCTTGAGGTGGAAACTACTTCAAGATGTTGTGAAGATTGTTGAAATGACAGCAAAGGATTCAGAATAGTACCTAGGCTTAGCTGATAAAGCAGTGGCAGGGTTTGAGAGGATTGACTCCCATTTTGAAAGAAGCTCTACTGTGGATAAAATGCTATCAAACAATGTCGCATGCTACAGAGAAATTGTTTGTGAACGGAAGACTTAATCAGTGCACATACCTCACTGTTGTTTTAAGAATTGCCACAGCCTCCCAACCTTCAGCAACCACCACCCTGATCAACATCGAGGCGAGACCCTTCACCAGCAAAAAGATTACAGCTTGCTGAAAGTTCTGATTATGGCTACCATTTTTTAACAATAAAGTATTTTTAAACTAAGATATATACAATGTTTTTAAGAAATAATGCTTTCGCACACTTAATAGACTACAGGATAGTGTCAACGCAACTTTTATATGCACTGGGAAACAAAAAAGTTCATCTGACTCGCTTTCTTGCCATATTTGCTTTATTTTGCAGTGGTCTGGAAAACCTGCAGTATCTTCAAGGTAGGACTGCATACATTTGAAATTCTCTCTCTCTCTCACTCTCATACACACACCCATCTGCTGAGCAGACCCAAAATTTGAGACTCTGAGTTAGAGCCAAAATCTAAATATTGAGTTAAGAGCCAAAATGTAAATTATTTGCAAATATGACTTGATGTTAACTGATAATGTAGTCATTCTGATGTTCTCCAAATATTTTTAGCCCTCTGCCTTCTGGACATATAGCTCAGCTGTTTTTCCTGGCTCCTGATGGTTTTGCAGGGCCACATGACTAATTCTGGCCATTGATGCTGAGTCATTTCCACCCTGGATCATTTAGTTGTGGGTTAAGATCCTTAAGAATTCTCTTTCTGTCTGGGATGGTAATTGGCAACTTTAGAAGCTGGCCTATCAGCCAGAGCCCAATTCCTCTATGATGACAGACCCCCTTGCCACCCCATTCTGAACATACAGTGTTAGCAAGAAATGGTACTGTCTTAGCAATGGATATTGGTAGGACTCCAGGAACACTGAGAGAATGGTAGGAAAGATAAAGTTAAGGAACAGAGAGAGTTGCAATGGGGCCATTCTGAGACAAATATGGACATACACAAATTGAATGCAATTTGTGCAGACCTACTGGCTTTTATTATTGTTGTTACTACTACTACCATGATGATTATTATTAGTTCTATTATTAGCTTTTTAAAACAACCTGAAGATTACTGCCATTATATGCTATGACTCATTCTTGGTGTTGAATAAGGATATAGAGGGAGGACAGATCCTTCTAGTTTTTGGATCCCTCAGGCTAATGCAATAGGTATTCATCATACACAGTGTGAATTTTGTTGAGTATTTGTATTTTCTGACACAATTGCACTATATAATTATTCTAGTTAAGGACCACATTTTATACTCCTTGTGTGTACTTTTGAAACAGTCTTAAAAATCAATAAAATCAAGCTGAAGGCCGACTTCACTTGATGAGGGAATTGGCATCACATCCCACTGTTGACCATCTCTTGGGCTGACTCACAACAGATGCATCAATTCTCACATTTTCATTTCCTGGAGTTTTAGGAATGCTTAATAAGAGTCATGGGCATGGGGGGTGGGGCAGAGCAGAGAGGAGAACCCTATTTTTAGAACTTTATCAAGAACCCTTCAGCCCTATTTTTAGAACTTTAGTCCTCATTGGTGACCAACTCAGTGAAGAACTGAACTTCCATGTAGATGTAGGTCATTAGCTGAACAAAGAATCAGTGTAGTTCAATAGGTTCCATGTCGAATCATACTGGTAATTGGATTTGTCATTGCTACAGGGTAAGTTCTGTGAGGGCAAGTACTCTTACCTGCTTTCTCACTGTTGTATCTCTACTGCCATTTTTACTGACATTTTTCACATTGACTTCTCAGAGCAACTGTTTCATTTTTCTTGGACATGTGTTCTGTTGGGTTTAGTCTCCTCAATTGCTCCTGGCTCTTGGTGTTTTTCCTTTTTTAATCATCCCATTTGCCATTCTTAACTAAAAATGCTCTATAGAGCTCCAAAAGTCAAGTGATACATCTAAAAACTCATGGGTGGGTAATGCAATTAAAAACTGTTGAGAAAGGAGTTGGCATTTATCAGAATCATATGAATTGTCAGCGACCAACCTCATGGAAGTTTCCCACACCTGGCTGTGCACCTGGGTTTCCCTTTGTTCCTTTGATTATGACCTTGCAGTTTCTTTGCTAAATTTTCTATTGCTTTCTCTACCAATCCTGGCCTTCAAACCTAGATTTTAACTTTGTCTATACGATCATGCACCAAACCTTCTACTCTTGCATTGTCTGGATGGAACTCAAGCAGCATGCTCCTTGTTTATGCCAAGTATGACATTATGCTGTAGAACTCCTTCCTACTCCCTGGTGGTGCAATGCAAGTATTTGCCTACCAGTCTGGGTGGATTACAGATGTAGAATATTTCTCTCTGTATTTCTGCACACTAATGCTCTCCATTATGCAATTGTACTTGCAGTGCTTACTCTGTGTCTGGCACTCATATAGGCAGTAGAGATACAACAGTGAGAAAGCAGGTAAGAGTACTTGCCCTCACAGAACTTACCCTGTAGCAATGACAAATCCAATTACCAGTATGATTCGACATGGAACCTATCGAACTGCACTGATTCTTTGTTCAGCTAATGACCTACATCTACATGGAAGTTCAAACGTCTTTGCATCTTTTTTTACTTTTAATTTTAGTTCACAACTACATTTTCATCAAAATAGGCCAAAAAGCAGTTGATCCATACCAGGTATGGTTAGAAGCCCCCCGCAACACATGCAACACATGTTGCTCCGGGAAAGTAGAAAATAACCAAATGCCACATTTGATTTCTCATAGCCACATGGAGAATGTGATTTTGTTTGCCATTTTATTTGCCACCAGTTGGCTCCTGGACCAAGAGCTGAGCTACAGTGAACTTGTTCCACACAGTCCTTTTCCAGAGGGCCTAACCAATGCCATTTGAGACTAATTTTATAAATAGCTCTGGCAGACAACTCTCTGGACTTGGTCGTACAGTGTATCTCTCTAGATAAGGCTTTGCATTCGATAGGAGCTATCACATGATGAACGTGTGTGCACGTTCGCATATTCATGCTAGTACTCTGAGCTCCCCTCTTATTTGGCTTCAACTTCAAAACTTGTCTCTTGAGGGCAAACTCATAGCTGGGAGGAAAGAACCAGCTTCTCCTTCACCCCCAAGTCTGCTGCCTATGTTTAATGAGTCCTCAGTGGGGTTTGGGGAGAGGAAATGGAGAAGCTACATTTACACCACAACTGGAACTGAGCCATCTTCCTGCTGTCAGAGACTCAGATCGAGGTTGAACATATCCATTACTTGAGCCCAAGAAACAGATTCCTATCCCAAGACTCTAGCATGAATTCCTAGGCCTCTTCACTGGATCTCCTGGGGCCCCGTGCTGTTTGTGATAGAGAGAGCCAGGACTCTCTCTGTCTTTGTACTGGTGACTGGGGTTTGTCCCTAAACAGGCATGGTTAGAAACTATTCTTCCTGCTGCTGCTAAACCTTTATCAAGCTAGACTTGTGGGGCCCTGCAGTCTACTGGGAATTGGGGGAGGTAACAAAAGGGAATTCATATTTTGAATCTATTAAGGACAAAAATACGGTACCACACATCTCAGAATCTGCAATGCCCCTTTGAGTTTCCAGATACTTATGTGTACTGTTGTCCGTGAAATCTTGGTTCCTAGATGCATTTTATATTTAGACCATACATGGATTTATTTTCAAGGATCTCACTATAAGAACTTCAAAGTATGTTCGGTCATACTACAGGTGAGGTCCTTAACAGTCTGAATGGAATCCAGGTTCCCTAACCAAGCCCAATACCACATCAGAAAGGCTCCCCTGGACTGGTGGAGACTGGGGGAGTAGTCTGGGGTCCCACTTGACTTCTAGGGCACACTCTTGGACATCCTCTTGGCTCCAATGGAGGCATGAAGGCTGGGGAAGAGGCCACCTTACCTGAGAGCGGCTATCTGTTCCTAGGTAAGACCACTCCTCACCATGTCATGTTTGACTAGGAAGTAATGGAGAGAGATTTCTAAAACCTCGTGTATATTCCTACTAGAACCCTCAACACCACCCCCTGCTCCAACACTCACAGCCTCGTCACCACTATGTGACTTGGGAGCATCTGGACTAATTTCATTATACTTTATATCCCTGTTTATGTCAGTCACCAGAACTCAGATCCTCCCCTCACTTCTTCCCTCATGCCCTGCACTTCTTACATCCCTCTGAAGCTGCTGTATTTTTCTGTATGACATGTATCATCACCTGGCACTTTATATATTTTACTTATTTATTTGTCTGTATTCCCACCAGAATGTCAGCTCCATGATGGTAGGAATTCTTCTCTGTTTTGTTGTTGTCGTTGTCTAAAATAGTGCTTGGCATAGTAGGTATTCAGTAAATATTGTTGAATGAATAAATGATGTGATGGATATCTAAGTATTTATTGAGAGTCACTAATTATTGACAATATCCATTTTCTTGTTTTTTTGATGAATGACCCCCTCATTGACCCTTGGATGTATTAGCCTTTTCCATAGTCTCTGATAGTTAAGGGGACCCTCCAGAATCATCACATTACTTTAGGCATAATCCTTGACACCCCTCCTCCATGTCAAACATTTGCCAAAGCAACCAGTATGTCCAATGTAACTATTGATACTATCCCAACTCAATCCTCTACGTCCTCCACCTCTGCTCACATATTCATTCTTTTATAAGGCGTTTAATCCAGGAGAAGACAGCCAGATTTCTGAGTACTATAACCAATTTTGAGGCCATAATAACAGGAAATAGGCCTGTGGGATGGTCTAAGCAATCATCTTTATAACACCATCAGACTCATTGGGCTAATTACCTTCTCACTTTAATTTCTGCATCATTCATTCCTCAGAAGCTAGGAATGCTGGTTCATGGCCTCTCCTAGAAGGCCATGCGCCTGTCTGGCCCTATCAGCAATCTTGCACTGTGCCATGAAGCTGGAATGTCACCACTTATATTCTGTAACGCTAACCAATCAGTTGTGCCCTGCAAAGGGCCTCCCTCTTTAATGACCTATTCCATCTCTAAGCCTGCCCATGTGGCCTTGCAGAGTGGACAGAGAGTACTTACATTATTTGTGGTGGCTTGGCTTGGAGGTCTACATCTATGGCTCTCCAACAAATTTGTTGGCTGGACAGTCCCAGAAACACCAAAAAATAAAGCAACATGTAGAATCTTCAACATCAAATGAGAATGTAGGAAGAGTCTGGAAAGTACAAAGCCTCCTATTTCCATCACTAGCTTCCAGCTGGCCTTGGAGGAACCGAACTGTGTAAATCAGTTTTATTAGTGACTTGCTCTTCCCAGGGCCAAGATACCCATGCAAGGTCCTCATGAATCCATGCAACACCAGAGCAATACTTGGAGTGCCACAGTTCTGGGTCACTCTCTGAGTAAGAGTGCCACACCAATGAAATCTAAATCCTGCTTTTACATCACCTGTATTTCAGTCCCCGCTCCCACCCTGGTACTTCCTTTTACCCTGATGGGTGCCATAACAACAACTCAGTAAAACTCGGCACGGACAAATCTAAAAACTCCAGGCTATGCTTGGGTGTAAGGCTGGTTAAAAGGTCACCACTGAAGGCAACAGAATCCCTGGACATCCTTACAAATTGAATGACACTCCTTATTCCACCATCCCAGAAACTCAAAGGCAGATACATAGAGACACCCCCTTCCCCCCATCACTCCTATTTCTGAATCCTCTAAATTCTCCCTGTGGCTATCACTATCCATGACCACACCCACCCACAGTCGGCCTGGCTCCATTATCAGGCCACTAGCACCCTGGATGGTCGCTGTTAAGACTGGATATAGCACCTGGGGTGTGAAAATGCCCTCTAGGGCCAGGAGATGCTTGCAGAGCTGACAGAAGTTCATAAGACAGATCTGAGATCCAGCAGCCTATCTGCCCTGAACCCCCTCTCTCTTGGGATTCCACTATTCACAAAGACCAACCTAAAGCAGAATGGGAGCAGAGCCTGAGCAGCTACTTGAAGGTGCTGAGGGAGTGAAAGGTGCGGCACATTCAAGTGGCCCAATATATAGGGAGAAGGTGTGTTAGTGGTATTCCTGGAGTTACTTGGTCAGCAGAACTACAATCTTATCCTTCTCTTTCGCTGCACTTCTGGTTTTCTAAACTTGTCTTCCTTTTTGGATTATGAATTTAGAATTTATTTAAAGGGCTCACATCCTCACAAAATCCTCTTTACTGGCTTCCAACACCTTTCTATGCATATATATTTGTATATACATATGCACACACACATGCGCATACACACACATTGTCTGATTATGGTCTGCATCTCTGTCTCACAGATTCTCTCTGACTCAACTAATTGAATCCTCTGCCTCCCACCCTATCCCCCGCAAACCCACCTATTTTCTTACATGCTCAGTCTGTGTGTCACAGTGGGCATGAACGTGTGTCACAGTGGGCATGAACTTTTTTTTAAGGAATAGTCATTTTTATAGCATACTTTGGAGTCTAAAACTCAGAAAAAACACCTCCACACTGGATCTTGCATCGATATGGAATTCCTAATCATGCAAGCTTTATGACCCTCATATATTCAATTTGTGACAGTCCACTAGTGGAAATCGACAGCAGAGTTTAGATCTTATACTGCTGCCCGTTACCATGTTCTTGGGCTGCTTATGCATATCTCCACGTGTGCTCAGAAGAGGGAGCAGTGCTCATTCCATACCCCACTCTTCTCCTTCCCAGGTACATCTTCTTTGCCAATGATGCCTATTTTATGTTGAAGCTAAAATAACTCATCAGTTGGCTTTAACTGAGTATACAGTGAGTAGAGAATGAAATGGGAGAAGCTCACATGGTTTATAATCTGCATCTAGAATATACACGAATGTTAATTATTTTATATAATTTACAGAGTGATTCTATTATATGCCATGTTCTTTGAGGATAGGATTATTTCTAACTCAGTTTTGTAGCCTGCTCAGTGGTGCTTACAGAGTCTGGTACATAGTAAGTGCTTAATAAATGCTTATAGAATAGATGAGTGGTCCCAATGGCAGTAACTGAAGGAAGATGTCAGAATATCAATGGATTGAGAGACAGATGAGGGCAGTTTTAGAAATAAAATTTTTTAAACCTTGGGCTCCTGCATGGTCAAAAACAGTATGGAAGCTGAAGAGAGACACCTCCTTGTAACCCATGGAGCACTGTCTGTGAGATTCAGTGGGACAGCTCACTCTCTCACTGTGAGGAATCAGTGCAGGACTGGAGAAAATAACCAGAAGAACATGTACTGGAAGGGAGAATTTTTATCTTTCATGCCCCATGCCCATGATTTTTTTTTATATTTAAATACCTAAGAATGTGATTCACCAGCCATCAGATTTAACAAAACCCACTCTCATTCTGCTGTGTGCTTTAGTGATACAGAAAACTTTCAATTATCTCTGCTAATGGAATGGAAGCAATGGTACATACAATCAAAATGCCATTTCTATTTGCCTTTGGAAGTATGATGTGTGCTTTTCCCCCAGCAGGTTTGCTTTCATAATGATTAGTTCTAGCTTAGGCTAATATTAAATGAGTTAGCATTTTCTCTGTATAATATCTGGTAGTAGAAGAGAAGAGATGTGTTTATGGCAGAGGAAACTCTCGCAGGGCTTAGTATTTGCCACAGTTAATCGCCCATGTGGATAATCTACTTGCAGCAAGTGGGATTTTAAACAGAGCAAAAGGCAAAGAGTGACTCTATGTCCTGGATTTCAATGACCCAGAGGTGGAGGCCCCAGGAGAAAGCTGTAGCTAGCGTTATGAAGAGTGTTAAAGGAGAAAGAACACTGGATGAGGTATAAGGCCACTGGGGTTCCTTGATGCCCAAGGGAGGCCATATAATCTCTTTGTGTCTCAATTTTCTTATCCATAAATGTAATAATGACCTAACAAGCTAACTGTGCCAAAAGAGAACAGTGGGCTAAAGGACTTGTAAATGTATTAAATGCTAAGAAAATGCAAAGCACTGATAGGCAATGAAATATTGTTGTTGCCACTTTTTAAGGAACTGTCCCTTGCCCTAACTCCTCAATGCTTAGGGTCTTGGGCTGTGGTTTCTGAAACTTTCCCCAATGAAAAGTAGTCCCCTTTCTTGAGGGCCCTGCTCTTCAAGGATAGCTACTTCGATAACATCCATGCACCCTAGTGAACGGACGCATCCTTTTTTGGGTAATAGTTTCATTTTAACAGGGACCTTGCAGCTATAATAGATTAACCTGGTGGCTCTCAAGGTGTGGTCCCTGGGTGTGTAGCATCAGCACTTCTTGGGAGTTTGTTAGAAATGCAAATTCTTGGATCTACCCCCATGTACTGATTCACAAACTCTGGGAGTGGGGCCCAGCAATCTGTTTTAACAAGTCCTCCAGATGAGTCTGATAAACACTCAGATTTAAGGACCCCTAGTATGGCCAAAGGAGAAAAAAAGCAAGCTAGGAATCGTGCTCTGGGACATGCCAATGACAAACTTTTACTTTTCTGAGGGAGGCAGGGGAAGGGTTACAGGACTCTTCACATCACACTGCATAGCTGTGTGTGTGTGTGAGTGTGTGTGTGTACGTGTGTAAAATGATGATCTGGAACATCATTTTTTCAGGTAGGTCCCTTTCCCAACCACCCTAACAATTCATCCCCACCTTGGAGACTCCCTACCCCCTTTCCTGATTTACTTTTCTTTGTAGCACTTATCACCTTCTAATATGCTGTATTACTTGCTTTCTATTTTGTTTATTGACTGTCTCCCTGGGCTAGAATATAGCTATGCTCTATAAGGACAGTCCATTTTGTTCAGTGTTGTGCCCCCAGCTCTGAGAACTATGCCTAGCAGTACTAGAGGGCACTCAGTAAATATTTGTTGAATTAATGGGTGAATGAATAGCTGCTGAACCTGGGAGATGTGAAAATATTGGGGTCAGACCAAAACACTGAAACACCTGCAAACATCCTTATTAGGCAGTTGCTATGGCATGCGAGCCTTGCCTCTCTGTTCCTGCTTTGGGCTCTGAAAAAAAGTCTACGAACAAGGCTTGGGTATATGTCAGCCTTGGGGATTTGGTTCACGATACTGTTTATCATTACAAAATGTGCTATCTGGTTTTTCCTAGGCACGGGGAGAGTATACTGATTGATCAACATGTTTATCTGGCTGTTTGGGGCTAGGGGCAGTCTATGGGTGTGTGACAGACTAGAGGGTGACATGGCAGGGAAAACAGCAGTCTAAGAATGAAAACCAGGAGTTCTAGTCCTCTGCCCCTAACTTGCTGTGTGGTCTTGGGCAAACTGCTTAGCATTTCTGGGTCTCATTTCATTTGTTGATCTCAGTGATCTTCAAGGCCCCTTTCAGCAGTTGTTATTGTAAATCTATTCATGTGTTACTTGATTAATGTAGGTATACTCTACTGGCAAACTCCATGAGAACAGGGTGAGTCTATATTTGCCCACCTAGTTCATATGCTCAGCACTTGTAGGCACCAGGTATTTGCTAAGTGAGCCAATCCCTATGAAAGCCAGATGGTGATCTCAGCCTCATCAGCCTGTGCTCTGCACAAGTATGTCACAGGGACATGGATGTGGGCTACAAAGACCTGGACTGGGAAGAGACCTCCAATCACACAAGGAAGAGCAGGACACTGGCTCTGCCCACCCCCCCACTCCCAGGGCATACAGAAGGTGCCCAATTCATTAAGGTGAAGACCATAGCAGTGCAGAGGAGAGAGCCCAAGCTGGGCACTGGAGCATCAGCCCTGTGGTTTGCAAAAGCATGGACCTGGAGATCACAGACCTAAATTTGAATCACAGATCTGCTATCTTTCAGCTTTATGACTTTGTACAAGTTATTTACTTCCCATAGCTTTAGCCTCTTTATCTGAAAAATGAAAACAGAACTGTCTGCCTCTCAGGATGGCTGTGAAGATTAGAGGGGATGATGTATATCAGGAGCCTTCCCATCACCTGTATGAGAAAGGTGCTCAGCAAACAGAGGCCTCCTTGTCTGGTTCTGCCCTCCTGGCCTGATAGGAGGTTTCTAACAATGCTTCCTTCAATAGAGAACCAGCCTCAGTTGGTTGTCAGCTCATGGCAGTGCCCTGGCCTGTCTGGCTGAGGGGGGTAAAGATTGAGATAAAAAGTGTTTCTCAAAGTATCTACCTTTGGAGATCTGTATTTTCTTCTTTTCCTTCCAGTTTGCTTAATGAGATTTTGAGATTTCTAACTTTCTATGTCATGAGAGCAAAAGGTGCAATTTTGTAAATAAAATTTAACAACTCATTATCTTTTGAATGTACTGAGAGTTATCACTGAACAGAACATGACTGAACCTTGCTTGTCTCTCTTTTCAGCTGCCTTTGTCTCTCCTTCCACCTTGTTCCCTCCCTGGTAGAGTGAATTATACTCCTGCTCCTGCCCTGCCTCCTCCACTCGCCGCCCCCGCTTCACCCCTGCACTCTGCCACTACATATGGCCATCTTTATTCTGGAAAACAAATTCTGCTGCTAGGCAACCAGAACACAAAATTCCTGTGGTTGACATGATTCTTATTAATGACCGCAATTGCAGACGTGCCGCCATCACGGCATGCCATACGTGCGCTCCTGCGTCTGTCCCCAGCTAGACAGATCTTTCCAGAAAGTGGAATGGGGTGGATTCTTGGTAGGAAATTAAGGGCCTCAGCGCTCAACAGAAAGTATTTATAAATCACTGTATATCACAGCCTGCTTTAGAATCATTTTATTAGAACACATTCAAGAAAGTGACATACGGAAAAAAGACAGCAGCAATTCTCAGTCATGCAAATGCCCATGTTAAGGTTCTCCATTGGATTTAAATTCAAGTACAAAGACAGTCCTTTCCTGAGCCAGGTGCAATTCCAGGGAATGACACTGTGAATTGAGAGCGTGTTTCCTCCACAAAGTTCAGAACACTGAACAAGTCCCATCCTCACAAGACTGTGAGGTACATGGAAATGTAAACTTTCAGGATCTTAAGGACCCCTTTACCCAGTCCTCCCCCATAACCCAGCTGGGGGAAGTGAGCCCAACATCGGGACCTTTTAGAAATAAGGTTTAGTCTACTGAAAATAAAGCAGTGGGCCTTAAAAAATTAGAAAATGAGTGTATATATATACATATATATATATATGTAATGGAATCATCTTTGCCTCTTGACTTGGTGTGGGGTTTCCAGAAACTCTGTTAGGGGTTGGGGCTCTCTTGAGTGTCTTGGAAGCTGGAGGACTTTTTAAACTTTTAACTTTTTATTATGAAAAATTGCAAACACATACAAAAGTGGAGAGAATGGTATAATGAATGGCCACGTCCCCGACCTTCTAGTCTCAACAGTTAACCAACATGGAGCCAGTTTGTTTCCTTTATTTCTTTTCCCACTTCCCACCCACCACCAACAGGGTAATCTCGAAGCACACGAAAGCTAGGAGGGTGGTCTTTGAACCAGAGACCTCAGGGGTGAGTGAGGTTAGAGGAGCTGGAAAATTCTGACAAAACCTGGGCAGGCTGACGCAGATAGAACATTTGTTGGGGATGTGGTTGGGCCAATGTTTGGGAACAGCTAGAGTTAACCATCCTCTTCTCTACCAGAAACTATCCCTTGTTCCTCCTCCCTCTTTCTCAGGATGTGGGGGAGGTAGGCTAGATTAGAGCAATGGGTTTTCTAGATTGGGGGCCACTGACAACAGAGATATTCAATCTGGAGAAAAACTCCAGAGATAAGTATGTCCCTCTGATGAATGTGCCCACTCACACTGCAGACCCCAAGGGCAGTGAGGGCCTGGGGTGCCTGGTGTTTGGATTGGGAGCCACGGGAAGTAGCTTGGGTCATGGGGCCTCTCACAGGTCCCTACTGTCCCACCATTTTCAACTTTGGAGGGAAGCTCAGCAACCTCGAATCGCACCCAGTAGAGAAGCAGGGAGCCCGAGGGGCAAGCCCATGGCCCAGGTGGGCAGATTTTGCTTGGAACATGTTGCTCTCTGAGCAAAGGCTGTACCCCACACCAGCCCTGCCAGAGCAGTCTCAAGAGAGGTGGGTGATGGGAGTCCAGGTGGGAGGTCCCAACGGCGGCACGGCTAACCCGGTGAGCTGCAGGGACAAGTCCCAGGCTGCGCGCTAAACGTAAGTGGAGAAAGGATCTCCAGGTCCCAGGTGCCACCGAGGAGCAAGGTTGCCATCCTGTTAAGAAAAGGGCCGGGGCTCTGTGATTTGCATATGACTTTGCAAAAATCTGCATGAGATCCCGTAGCCCTTTATAGAAAACAGAGTTAAATCATCAGTGCAACCTACTGTATTTCTAGCAACCCAAGGCACAGAGTGCAACCTGGCAAATACACAATCATTTTCTGAGAAGAGGAAATGGAGTGAGCAGAGTGCTGTGTAGGACAGTCCTTGGTCTGAAGGTTCAGAAGAAGCCAACCAAGTTCAGGATCCAGATGAGGATCGCTGACTGGCCACTTTCACTGACTTTGTCAGGGTTCCAATGCATATACTTTTCTCTGCAATAGCTGCTGGTTGAGCAGTCCTGCGGTGGTTTCCCCCACACATAAAAGCAGGAGGAGAGCCAGGAAGAATATAAAGAGGGCTGCATTCAATATGAGGTCCTATGAGTGATCCTCAGTGTTTATTTCATATCCTTTTTGTTTTGTTTGTTTCAACTCTTTTAGGATCCCTGTGCCTGCCAGCAAGTCTCACTATGACATTCATTTGGGGGAAAGAAACTGAGAAAAGTTTACCCATTTATGTGGCAGATCTTTGGCAGTGAGTGACTTAAAATTCCTGATTTCAAGTGTTTCCAGGGTCTGCGACATGTGGTAATCTGCAATTTTTCCGAGGCATGTGGTTGGTTTGTGAGGCCGCAGGGCTGGCGGAGGGAGTGGATTACTGAGTGAGTGAGGGAGCCCGCCAGAGACCCGGCTTCCATATTCCAGTGTGGCCACGCCGACTCTACTTGGCCACCGGAACAATGGACTGTGTCCTTAACAATGGCCCCTCAAAGAAAGTCAACTTCTAGTGCTATTGGAGGGCTGAAGTATTCTAAAGAGCAATGGCTCAACCAAGAGAAAAATTCAAGATAAGTTAAAGAGTATGATCTCATATTTGACTGTGGCTCAGCTCATCGTATCTGCCATACAGAAATGAGAAAAAAGGTACAGGTCTGTGATTCAGCAGTCTTACAAACTCCCTTAGTAAGAACTCCAGCCAGGCAAAAACTGTTCATTAAGGGAGAGAAAACACATCAGCATCAAGTTAAAATGGTAGTTACCCTGAGCTGTGAGGAAGATTGGGGATACTTAGAATTCAGAAGGGAGAGGAGATTCTGAAGAAAGCCAGGAGCTATACACATACATCTGTGAAGTAACTCATGGAAGGTCCTGCTGACCACTGAGCTCACCTTGGCCAGGGCAAAAGAGCCTTAGGAATTTTATATCGCATTACATTAATGGGGAGGTGGGGTGGGGTGGTGGTGGAGGGGTGGTGTCCGCTGTCCTGCTTAGCTCACACCATAATTCACCATCATTACCAGTTTAGTTTATAGATGTGCTATAAGATTTGTAGAATTTACTGCAGTGGTAGAATTTAACAGTTTTATAAATGCTGCATTTGACATTTTGTTCTTTACACAGTTCTTAAAATTCTGAAAGGGGAGTTAAAAAAATATTTTATTGTCATTTATTAAAATAGCTAATGTTCTTCATCATTTTTATTATCACTATTATTAACAACTAATATTTGTTGAGTCTTTAGCATGCGCCAAGCCAAAGGCTGAGTGTCCGGCATGCATCATTTCTCGTAATTTGCACTACAACGTTATGGGGTGGGTAATACCATTACCTCCATTTTGCAGACTGGAGCCCTAAGAGGACCTGCCCAGGATCAAACAACTGGCAAGTGAAGGAAGTGAGATCTGCACTGTGGTTGGTTTGATTCTGAGGCTATCCTTAACCACTGTGCTATGTTGCCTCTTGTAAAGGAGAATCCACCTCCTAAGTGATATTTGTACATTTGTATGTTTGTGGATTTCAAAGGTCTGGGAAAGCATCTCATATATTTTGAGGATCCATCTTATCCTCAAGGACCTAAGTAGAAGTGGTTTGGGTCACTTCGTTCTACATACTCATTAGGTTGTGCAGAGAAATGTTTATTCCCTTTTAAACCTAAGTTGTGATGGTCTCTGTGCACCTGCAAATCTGTCTGATGGTTTGATATATGAGACACGTAGGCAAACTGCATGCTTTTCTCTAAAACCCTGAGAAAATATAGACACATTAATATAGGAAGCCATTATTTTATATAGTCCAGTTGGTAACATGAAAGAGTAGTGAACGCCGATGCATAGCTCTTAACTTTAAAAATGACAGCCGTTCATAATCTCATTGAGATGATTTTCTAAAAATCTGGCCTAAAGAAAGGATTAGCGGGAAAAGTTGAAGTGGAAGTGGAAGTGTGTGTGTGTGTGTGTGTGTGTGTGTGTGTGTGTGTGTGTGAGAGAGAGAGAGAGAGAGAGAGAGAGAAGGCCATCACATTTTTTTTTTTTGAGATGTGAATGATTTCTGTTATTTAGAAAATAACTCCCAGTGTGGAATTCATATATGTCCCATGTCCAGTCACCATATACCTTTGGCATTTTGATTCAGTAGGCCAGGGTAGGGCCTGAAGTTGGCTTTTAGAAATACTTCCCTCATAACTCTGTGGGTTGCCTGGTTTGGAATCCTTAGCACAGAGACCTTCTCTATCCCAATCACTCCATCGCTCGGAAACCTGAGTTTTGCAGTATTTCAACTGCATTTTCACATCTGTCAGCACATACTGTCCAAAAGTACTTCTCTTGGGCATTTTCCACGAGGGGCGAGAATCAGTGAGATCCACTTCGTAGGACGGTGGCTTTTATGAACCGGACCTCCCCTGTATTCTTTTATTTTAGTGGGGAGGGGCCTGTGCTGAGATTTCCTCCACCTCCCACTATTCAGGTACAGATCCCTTTATATAAATACTTTATATAATATAATGTAGGCTCCATTCTAATACTAGACACCCAGAATGTAAGCTTTCTGAGCAATAGAGACATGTTCTGCTGACCCTGGGTGCACAAGAGACAGTATTGGACATCCAGTGGTATAAAAATAACCACAAATGGGGAACATATTTATATGTTATAGATGTGTACCCTGTCTCGATCCATAAAGAATTTGAGGCAATTATTTTCCATTATATTTTTAAATGCATCTTCAGTTGACTATATGTTCTGGATGTTTTTGATGGAGCGGGAAACCAGTGAGGCAGGAGTGTGCCCAAATCACCACTCCCGTGGTTAAGACATAATAAACAGCTTCCTCTACGCTCCTGATTCGTGCCTTGCTCTGCTAGGCACACAAGTCAGTGAGCGACTGACCCATGGGATCCATGGAGCATGGAATGCTCTTGGTATTTTAATTCAGGTGTGTTTCATTCAAATGATGGGGGGCAGTAATGACAGGACTTAGACCATTTGGGCCATAATGTTACTTTGTGTGTTTTGGCCTGAATTATCCAATTGTTTTCTTTAGTGAGCTTGTCCAGGGGAAGGCAGTGTGCATAGTGGACATCAGAGAGCCCTGGGTTCACATCTTGGTTCTGCCGCTTTCTGGTTGTGTGACCTTGGGCAAGTTATTGAACCTCTCTGAGTGCCATTTTCCTCATCTGCAAAATGAGGATAATGGTACTTACCTTGAAGAACTGTTGTGAGGACAGAATGAAAAGAGTATATACATAAGCTGCCAGGCTCCTATAAGGAGTTCAGCAAGAGAGGTGGTTGTTACTGTCAGCTGTTCATGCTCTGGATGGCTTCCTTGCAGGCAGCCTTTGTGCTTTCCTTGGTCTGCCCAATTATAGCAGGGCTTTCTAAGACAAGGACTAGGCCTTTCCTATTAGATGGGGCGGTAGGAGGCGCGGGGTATTACCCTTGATGGGGACTTTAAGTGCTCTGTTTGTTTCCATGATACACAGGGAACTCTGCAAATACTATATTAACTGGTTTAAAAGAGCTTTTCTCCACCCCAAATGTCAGACTAGAGCCTGGACTGGAAATTTTCCCTGATATAGCCATCAGAATTAAACACGGAGATACAGAGTAGTAAAAATACTGAATCGTGCACACAGGAAAGACATAAGCACCGTGAAGTGTATCTTTAGTTTAGTTCTTTTTTAAGGACTGATCTGGTGACCTTCTTATGTGTTCTTTCCTGCTTTCTACTCTGCCTGAAGGATCTCCTTTTGGCTTTTAGATGTCTGGCTTGTTGCTCATGCTGACCCCAGGCTTCCTCATCCAGAATGCTGTCAGGAGCTTATTGAGGAAGACCAGGCAGCCTAGCAGCTTAGTGATGAGCAGGAAGGCCTGGCAGGTGGTGCGGAGTGCGCTCCCTCCCAAGTGACAGGCCAGGCACCCCCCACCTCTGGAGGACCACCCCAGTGAAAAGCAACCAGCTACAGCAGGAAAGAGTCCATCTCCCTGTTTTTCCTCCTTCTGTTTCTCCCTCTGCTCAGGGAATCCTCTGAGAGAACCACGGAACTAGGCAGTGTGGGAGAAACAACCTTGAAAATATTGGTTTCATGTAATTTTTTTGTTTTGTTTCAAATTCAGAAAGGTTAAAAATTGCCTCTTTACCAAGAATTCTTATCAGAAAACATTCCCTCTGCCCTCAGACTGTGGGAGCTGAAGAGAGAGAGGGAGGTGAGGGGCCGGGGGAGAGCTGGGTGTTGACCTAACGATGAACCTCCTATTCGAAACCTGCTGCCCATGCAGGGTAACTCATTTCCTTCACGGAGGCTCTCTGTGTCCTCCTCACCTGGGTCCCAGCATCCCCATGCTGAGTCACTCCGGAAACCTCCCCCTCTGGAATCACAGGGGCTTAAAACCAAACGTGAAATATGTCTGCTTTCTGTCTCTCCCTCTGCATCTCTCCATGGAATCTCTTCATGAACTTATTCGCAGCTTTTCCTCACCCTTTCCATACTTCCGCTAAATAGCTACATTTGGGGGAAAACCCTGATGGAACTCCTCATCTCCTTGTCACCCCCAACCGGCCACACCCTGAATTTTCCTTCTCTTTCCTTTCACTGTCCAAGGCTCCTGACCTATACAACCAAACACAGTTTTCAGTTCCTCAGCTCACAACCTTGGCCCATCCTACACATCAGTC